GTGTTACCGATTCAATAAACTTCTGTTAATTATAATTACACTTTTTTACTGAAATACGTGATTAAAAAACTGAGCAGAAATTAATTAAATACTGAACTTCTTGAATTATATACTGAGCAAAAAGTCATTTTTTACTGAACAAAAACTACTGAACATCTGATAAAAATTTACTGAACATTGGTAATTAATAAAATACTGATCAACTAAATACAAGCCTTTATTATTTATTAAACATGGTCACCCATTTCAGTAGAGGATTAGCGACGCTTACGTCGCGTTACTTGTGTTATTTAGTTGTATACGTTGATATCATTTATTTTATGCACTTCACAAGTATTCATAAGTTCATTAATAGTGTATGAAATACGTTTACTTTCGAGTCGGTTCAGAAAAAAGCACATAACTGATAGAAATAAGAATTAGGATAGATTCTGAAATTATCAATGATAGGATGGTGAAATATATACGACAAAAAAGAAAAAGGATGTATCTGACAGGAAGGAAAGAGTACGCAGGATTTAGCGGGAGAGAACAACTACAATATATACAAGAATTGGCGGAGTTGATAGACGATAACAGCTGATTATAACACTAGCTCTTCAACAACAGAAAGGACAGCATTACCTGTTTATATTTTTAGAAAGGTCATAGAAAATGAAGTAATATGCAAAATATGAGTTAATATTAATCACACTATATAGTTACATAGTTATGTTTTAATCAAGACATACACTAACTGATAAATGATAATCTTTCCTTAAATTTATAATGAAACAGTACATAAAAATTCGAATTTCCCAATGGAAATATATGGAGTAGTTTTAATTTGATTGCACAGTATCTAGTCTAAAAGAGAACACATCCGACAACTTTTACATCTCTTTTTCAATTTTGTTCACTTTCCTTTGTATTCAAATTCTAAGTGGTCAGCCAATTCTTTTACTGAATATTGGAAATCGTATGATGGATGGTTCATTGATTGTTAATGTTTCAATGAAACTCTTCATGTATGAATAGATATTGCACAGCTAAACTTCATCGAGATTATAACAAATCAAAATATCTTGCAATATATGGACGATAGCATGCGTTGAGAATTTAGTGAACGAGTTACGTCGCATACATTTGAAGTAGATTCATCTGCAGAAAAAAGTTGTTGCATACATAATAAACTCGAAAGAGGTACGAATGTGAATTCTGCTTTACATTGTATGAACTTCGGAAAAGTGCATTCTAATTTTTGTTGGCCATTATTTTTATTATTAAAGTTTGACCGATTAGGATTAAGACCGAATATTGTTGGAATATTATTATAAATAATGTCGAAATGATTAAACACGTTTGATACGTACTCACATCTTTGTGACGGGTTGAACGTGAGTGTAGATCATGGGCTGTTTGAGATATAATAAGTTGAGAAAAATCTTTCAGTATGTACTTCTGTGCTTAAGTAAACATACGATTTATCAACAAACGATACCAATGGAAATATGAAATGCCTTCGTCTATTAAAAAAAATGAATTCAATGTAATTTTGAAAATTTCTTCGAATACGATAACTGCTGATGATTTCGAAAAATGAAAGTTCAAATGTTGATCTGCTATATTACCATATCATTCGAGATTATGTTCAAGAGAGTGATCATCTCTGACTTTCACATAGAAATGATCATCAAATCAGTGCAAGCTTGATACCATGTTCGTGAAAAATTCATCTGGCTCAGGAGTCGATAAAAAACCTTTGATGTGTTTGTTAATTAATCTACAAATATCTCTTTTCTAATATTCAGACATCGAGATCGAGATCGAAACGTTTCTAACTAACACTATTGTTCATAATTCAATCATACATTGTTCTTTCGATTGTAATGAATGCATAGGTAGTGGGTGATGCTCGGTATAGATCGTGTAAAGGCACCAACTCAGGAAGAACGTTACGGATCTCTGTAGATAACTGTTTATATGCCGTAATTTGTAAGTACTGTTTTCTTCCTCTCGGGTTACGGCAATTTAGAATTGGAGACAGTAAGAAATTATAGTATAAGTTAGCGTTTTCGGTCGCGTACCACCGTTTACGATTGCCATAATGGTCGAACTGCGTATATATTCAATGATCTTTTAATTATATAACATTTTGACTATCATTATCTTAAAAAATAATGTTTTTGCTATAAATGCATTATTTTGATTAAAGGCAAATTTTCCTTATAAAGACTTAAATTTTATATTTATCTTATTTGGTTTGAAAGACGCATTATATGATTTTGAGATTGAAAAAATTATTACCTTTCAATATATTATAGATCAGTCGATTGAAAAATTCCCATTGGTAATATCACATAAGGTTTGAACTCAAATAACACGAATAATTGTTACCAGTCGCATAACCAGGGTAGGACATGGTTGGCCACTACTCAATCGCTGGACAAATTCTGGCTAACAATGTGATCGTCTATTATTTTCATACATTACAAGAGAAAAAGAAAAAGAAAAAGAAAAATTGAATAAGCCAGTATTACACATGGTATATACTCTCTTTGAACTTGGTGCTTTAAGGGTATAAATAAAAAATTGTCTTTTATTCTTTCATCGATAATTCCGACAATTACCAAACATCAATATTACTTCAATTTTAAGCTTCACTTTCTCTCCTTCATTATAGTCAATACAACAATAAGACAACTGTCTGAACTTTTCATCTCATACGATCGATTGAACATTTATCTTGGTTCACTCATACTTATTTTTTGTTGAAATCAATGTGAAATTCTTCATTACATTTATCATATCAAATATAATCATTTCCATGCAAGTAGGAGAAGATCAGTACTTAAAACAAAATCTAAATCTCATTTATGTCTAGGGTGAAAATTTTCAATCATTTTCGGACTATCTGCAAAGTCATATACCTTTCGTTGAAAATAAGATAGGAATTTTCAGTAGTATAATATGAACAGCACCGATAATCGACAGTGATGTTTTTAGTGATACGTTAAGAGAAAAAATTATATTAACTGCTGTTAGTACTCTTATTACAGCTATAAATCTTTTTATATTTAAAAATATATTCGTAATGGTGGCCATTATAAAGTATATGGTATTCAATACTTTTTTTTGCAATGTAGCGTTGTACGGTGTTTGTTAGAAAAATTGGTTTACCCTTAAGATGCATGAATATCACTATATAAACATAAACAAATCGAAAGTAAGCCTTGACTATTGGGTGACGACTAAAATAGGTTGGGGTAATCTGATTAATCGTTTTCGAACAAGAATTAGACAGCAAGTATCTATAATAAATTCCATTAGATTTATTACAACTACTTCTTGTAGTCTGAGAAGGATACTTTTCTCAATATTCGTTCTATCTTTTTTTACATGGTTATTCGTATTATTTTTCTTATTTACTCATGCTCATATAACTGATTTATCGCACTATTATTATACATCTTAAAAAATAATATATCACTGTCTTCATTGGAACGATGTATTCTTCTCTTTTACTTACAGTGAGAAATCACTTGAAGATCATGTTTTTACTTATTGGACTAAATATATAAAAAGAATTATCAAACTCGAACTCTTTCGATTCCAGGTCGATCGTCCTGAGTCGTAAACGGCCGTATACTTATTACTCACGGTGAAAAATCTCCGTAAGTGCAATGACTATCTGTTCGCTTAAAGTATAGTAGCATATTTTAGATTATAGTTTACACAAGCTATCTCAATGAAAAGTATTAAGTGGCCATCGTGTAGGTGAATTTAGCATCGTATTCGAGTAAACCCTGTCGATACTCATTTGAGCTGATTTTACAACGGCGATTATTTCGTTTTCTCTTGTGTTTTTCTATGAATAGAAGACTTCTCTTTCACTACAGACTTCTAACAGATTCAAAAATCAAACCAAAAACAGATGTGGAATATCGATGGATTCTTACAAATAGATACGTGAATTATACCTAACCAAGCTAATGGAATCAATTTCAATAGTAAACAATACACTGAGAACTAATGTGATCATCAAGAATGAAAAATTATAGAGATGAGTTGGAAATCATACTTTTACATGTAAAGTTGATGCTTGGTCTTATAACTCTTCGTCTTCACACCTATAACTTAGAATCAATATTTGTGCAGCTATTGCAAATACTTCTCTTTGATCGAACCTATTAGAAAAAAAGTAACTAAAAGGGTGAACGTAAGATACGTAGATAATGTTAGCACAAGATTCGAATTTTTCCTGTCCCTATTCGCCCGAGAATCTGTGTTGGCTCAGTAACGACTTGTGTTGTGTTAAGTGCAGACTCTTATTCTCTACCCTGGTCAAACAGTACGACCCGTATACGGTCGTTGGCGGTTACTTTACGATTATTTTACGGGCGAAAGTGTGCCGTAATATCTGGCGCAGTAATACGGGTCGTATTATCATGAGTACGGAGCACAAACAGCCGTAAACCATGAAAATTCAATTCCGTTTACGGTACCGTATTACTGCGCCAGGTATTACAGGCAAATACGGCCTATTTACTGCCGTAAATATACCGTTTTGACATCGTTTACCGTCGATAAACAGACCGTAAACGAGTCCGTTTTGACCAACCTGAGTAGCTAGCGATATAACTTTCGTTAGGGGACATCGACTGCAAGCTGTTAGAGAGTGAACACAGCACCTTGGGCGAATCGGGACATGAAAAAAAATCGAATCTCGTGCTAACATTACCTACGTATTCTGCTCATTCCATCGAATACAATCAGATAGTTCTATGATTGAAGTCAAAGTATCAAAATTGAAATCTTTATTGTCATTAAAAAAAAAGAAAATAATAACATAAAACTGAGCCAAAACAAATAAAATAAAATAGATGAAAGCACTAAATTAGTTATCGGATATAAGTAAGAAAAATATTTCACGTCAATGCAAAAGCACATAAATATACATTGCACTTTTTTAAATAGAAAAAATCGAAAGGTGTTGTGTCTTTATTCCAAGTCGAAACAATTCAATGTAAAGTATCTTGATGATAATTTTTAACACGCGTTTCAAGTGATAAACTATTATTAGCATTATTTTCCAACCATGTAACTAAACATGTTTCGGCGTTCATGGCAGCTTCGAATTGTTCAAAACTAACTGTCCATTCGTCTATTAATGTACCACTATTCTCATCTTCCTCTGGTGGAGGAGGTTTACATATTTCACCTTCAAGTAAAGAATGAAATTCTATATAAGAAGTGATCAAATAACAATAAGAAACAAACCCATTTTTAAAAGAATTGTACTTGAAGTTGCCAATGCTCTAAATAAATTTTCATCATCAACTGCTCCACTCATTAAATTATATATCGATTTACATAGACGTATAAAGTCGGTCTAAATAAAGAATATAGAATTATTTTTTCCTCCAAATATTCAGATTCGATTATATGTCGCATTTAAAGGTTTGACTACGAAGGAGCTATCTCAAGCGTAACCTAAGGTCTGGGTGTGCAGATTTTGAATATTTACTTGATTCATTAATGGCAATTGACTGGGCTTCACATATGTAACTCCTCCATTATCTACATATAATGAGATTGGTTGTTCTTTAATTGATATGATAGATTCTATCGGTCTAGTTTCACCAACTGGTAACCACGAGCTAATTGAAGCTGGTTCTATTATAAGATCAAAGCCTTCTTTTCGTCTTTCTTCGTCTAATGAAATGAAAAAAAAGGCAGATGAATATTTATTTAACAAATAAATTTCTAATTACGAACAAACCTTCGATATGCGAAAGAAATAAAATTATCAATTTATTTTTAAAATCTTCATTCCATAAAATATTCCATAATTGTATAAAATGTATAAAATCAATTTGATTCGTTTGTGTATTCACATTAAATAACTATTGAAGAAAGAAATATAAGTAAGAAATCTATTATTCAAAACAAAAAGATCATTTATCTGCTCGCCTTGTTAGCATTTCAGATGCATGAGATAAAACTAAATCAGAGATAACTGATCACGATTTCCCATGGGCACCTACGTAATTGCGCAACAATTTCATATTTTATTTAAATACATGAAATCGAAATGCTACTAAGGGGGTAGACAAACTGTCTTATGAGGCTTCTTTTTCTATATAGAAACTTCATATTTACATCAAATAATTTATTGGCTAAGTTTTCTGGTTGATCACCAATAAACCAAGGTGATAAAAATTTGCATAAAATTAAATATTCATCTCGATTGATTCTATATGTTTCATAAGCAAGTTTTCTTGGATCATTTACTTCTGTTAATGATATACGTGAAACATCCTTAAAAGACAATGATGCAGATTTAGCATAGAACTTTTCATTTCTTTTTACTTTAAAAATATAGAAAATATTTTTTATTTCTTCTTCACTAAATTTTGTAAATCTCGAAGTATTCTTTGCAGCCGATTGTAATAATGATTCACCCATATTTCGTACAACTATTAAACGATGCTTTGAACGTGATCGATTAATATCTTCTTCGTTCACACCATTAAAATTGGAATAAGATTTTTTAATTAAATAAATAATTTTTTTTTCGTCGTGTTTTTCACTATCATCATGATAAAATGTTTCTAAATATGATGTTAATATGGTGAGTGCTTCACCGTCATCGTTGCATTCTAATAAACGTTGACGATTCTCACTTAATATTGTTAATGCTAATTGAAATAAAAATTTTATACCATCATAAAAGAATATGTCAATAATAAATAATGCTGATTCAAATGGCATAACACTATTTTTTTTATAAAGAATAGTAGAATATTAAAGCAAAAAAAAGAAATGACTTCTTTTGTTCTTACCAAACAAATAGAGTTAGAAACCATGAAAGACTGATACATGCTGCTATTCCAAGATTTATTAATTTTTTATATAAATCAGGTAGATATTCTTTGAAATAATCATTGAAGACACCTAAAAAAAGCGAATGAATCTTATTTACTTGGATTAGAATACTAAAATGACAAAAATACTTTTGATCTTTTACAATCTCAAAATGTTTAGTAACGATCAATATGTACTTTTACTATTTCAACCGATAGGTGATATTAATATTCGAGTCTTTCGATCCAATACTTCGCCTGTTGCTCTTTTATAACCTTCATATTTTGTATAGAGCTACAAACAAGTCGGTAATGGTAAGTTTCATACTCTCGTAGATTTGAAAATTTGTATTTTCATCCTTGCCAAAGATATCGTTTTAGTCCTTCGCAACTCATTCTCAATCATTTCAGAAAATAAATTTATTAAAATGAAACTCTACCTTGATCTATCAATGCTCCAACGACTTTAGTATTATAATAATCTGGTAGAAGTCTTTCACATAATGCTGCTAACGTCCAAAATGCATCTTCTTCGTTCATATAAAGTAAAAGTACACCACCAATTATGTTCATAGCTTGACAATAACCTTTAGAAAGAAAAACAATTTCTCAATTAAATAAACAGAATACAAAATAAAAATAAGATTTCTACTAACCAACATCTGTATTATAACATGCATAAGCTCTTAATAAACGTCGTAGTACACTAATGCCAGATTCATCTTGATATGCCTTTTGATCTGGTAATGCTCGATAGAGATCACGTTCAATTTCTTCATTTATTAAATCTTGATCGTTGCTAACAATCGATGATTCATGAACACATTTTCTATAGACATCCGGACTTGTATGTTTCTATATAAAAAAACAACAAAAAATACACTCCTAAACATAATCAAGAAAATGTTGACTTCGAGTATAACTAACGTCATATATAGCACCACTAAATAAAAGCCATAATTCATTTCGTAAGGAATTTGGTATTCCTTGAAATAATAAATCATATAATTCACTTGTTCGATACATAGGTGAACCTCTTCCGTAGACTTCAAAATGTGTACGCCATGCGACTTCTCGAATATTTTCCATAGCTTGTTGTTCTTCAGTAATCTCATTCTTAAATTTTAAATAAAGTGGAGGAGATATATCTAAAAGAGAAAAATATTTTTTAAAATCAAATTATGAAACTATCTACCGACCTATTGATAACGGATCACTGATCAATGGTGTTTTCTCATTATATTGCGATAATAGATTTGACAATTTATTTAGAATAAATGTTCGATCAATAAAATTTGAAAAAACAAATGGACCACCCTAGAAAAATAGTAAAGTTCTATAGAAAAATTAATTAGCTCATGATTAATTTTTACTGGATATTTTATTGTTATAACCAATGCTGATTGAATATCTATATTTGATGAACTGGAATTATTTAAATGTTTTTCAACAACAACTATATCACGAAATGGAATGATTAGATTCACTTGATGATAAACCTGATGATTATAAATAAATAATGAGTGTGATGAAAAAGGAGCACTCATGCGTAACCTTACTTTACTGGAAAAGCAGAGAAAATTCGATGAAATATAAAGTTTTCCAACAATACTGGAACGATTATATGGTGTCCATAAATGACAAGCTATTTCACCATCTAAACGTTCGTCGCATGGTAAACGAAAACGATATCGATATATTTCACTACGAGCTTTAGCATCAAAATCACGTTTTAATTGAGATATCACTTTAGGTGCTGTTTTTCTGAAAGAGAACTTCAATAAATAAATATTTCTAAGGACAAATTTTTGCATCAATCGAGCACAGGCTTGCCGAGCAGGGGGGCTAGCCTCCCTAAATTCGAACCGTTTCTGCGAAATTTTTTCCATTATATTTCTGCGTTTTTCTGCGAATTTTTTTGGTACTTCCACAACTTTTAAAAAAATGAACTCAAAGAATACAAATATTACAAAGAACATTTTTTGAAATGCAAGTATACGAATTGGTTAACATGCAACAAAGTAAAGGGTTTAGTTAAATTATTCCTTTTTTTACCAGAAAACGTGAGGAGAGTATCAAAACAATGCCTACAAAATTCTTGCAGAAAACTTACTATGATACTTCTCTTTTACAAGAACCTCATATTACTATAGTATCAAAATATTTCAATGAATTTAACTCCGTTTCAATGCTTTTTAGTTTTTTTCCCCTTTTGTCGAAATATGAAGTTTAAAAGAAGCTCAGCATATTTCATTTAAAACAATCTATATGTCAACGATTACATTTATTATCTTCATTGTTAACAATAAATGCACGATGCATGTATAGTATAACTACGAAAGAGGAAGCTTCGTCTTTAATATTTCTTATTGTACGATAATTGCTGTGCTCTTTGATCTTGTGCTATTTTTATCGTAATTGGATTACAACTTAATGAGATAAAAATCAAAGAGACAGCGCCTTTTTTTCTGATTGTTATAGTATAAATACGATATATATTAATGACGTACTACGAAGATAAAAGATAAATTCGTTTAACTATGCATTACTGTGAATAACATTTTTGAAAGTTAAATAATTGTAAAATATTTTTTGTTTGGGAATTGAAATAATTGTAAAATGATTTTGTTTTTTTTTGATATTTTAAATATATTTGAAATCGTGTTCATTTTTTTGAAGAATGTTATATTTTTATTGCTCNATTTTCTTCGACAAGAAAATATTTTAAGAAATGAATAAATTATTTTCTTCTTTTTGGATTATTTTATTATAGATTTTAGGACTTTGGTAAGATTACTTTATGAGTTCTTTCAAGAGGAAGGAAATTCTCTGATGACATCTATAGTATGATTTGAAATGGTCATACATGAAAAAAGGCAATGATTAGGAAATTTTTCTGTCAATCTGTTCTTGGCATCCCACGGATTAACCATTATATTCATAATAACTCAAGTGTTGATTAGCCAGACTTGACATTGTCTCAAAGGACACAAACTCAATCTAGTTAGGCTCCTAGAACATATATCAAGAGATTACCCTAGAAGACTTTAGTTATAAACAAAAGCATTATCTGGCATTCTCATATTTCATTATGTCTAAATGCTTTAGCTGCATGTCACCTAATTATTCTTTTAATAAATGGATTTACTAGAAAATGAGGAAATCGAGTTAAATTAGTCATTCGACTTACGCGTGTCAAATTTAATTATGTCTGACAAAAATCAGGTTTTTACTATCAAATATCATCAGTCGTCTCTAGATACCTTTGTTGCAATCGATCAATCTTTTAGCAAACGATGTGAAACACATTTCTTTTTATATGAATATTTTCTTCGTTGCATGACTTGCGACAATCTTTCTGAGTTCAAAACATTTGCATTCTCTATTCAAATTTTCCGCTTTTATTGCTTCACTATACTCACTTTGTAACAGCAGGAAACCAATCTTCCTCTTGAAATGCATCCTTTTGAGATAGCAATCTATATGATAATGAAAATAATAATACTTGCAACTAACTGCTGAATATTCAAATAATTAACTTAAGTATATTTACTTTTTTGCTGCATAATTCGCTATTTGTTCTACAATTTGATACGTTTCTTCTATTTTTCTAAACATTCCAAAATTATATTCATGAAAACGAGTACAAACATGTATAGTTTCCGAAACAAATGCATTTACACGTTCAAGTAACTAGAAATAAACATCGATTGTCTATTATTCAATTCATTCTATATACTACTTACCGTAATATCTGTAAATTTAACAGTGATGGTTATATCTTTTCCGAGTAAATTCGAAAAAAAGCATAGATAGTTTACTGATACAAAAATATGTCCTTGTCGTGGTACTCGACCATCCCAATAAGAACACGAATAATCTTAAGAATACACATAATTCATAAAAGTAAACCACGTTTTTGTTATTTTAAATACTTACAAATAACAAGTTTTTCTTCAGTTGGCATATTAAATACTTTATGAAATTTTTTTGTTGCATTTTTGAATTTTTCCGATTCAAAATCTATGATTATTTATTTCATCCAAAATGATCATAAGTCAATTTATTTACCTCCAACATCTTCATGTTCAGCTTCTGTACATAAACTTTGTATTTTCCACTGTATATAAACAGTAATGTCATCGGCTACATCAATATCCTCTATTATTAACATAATTCATTACTTATTTAACTATTTCAAATATAACTATTTACCAAGTATTGGCATTAAATTGGCTTCAATCCATTTCCAATGCCCTTCAATGTCTTCCTTTTTATTTGCTTCAGCTATTACTGTAAATTAATACTTATGTCATATGAAAGAAATAGTGTCTGATAAAATATTTTTACCATAATAAACTTCCGGATTTGATCGTTTATGAAGTATACGATATTGACTGGTCTATAGAAAAAATTCGATTTAACTAAATAAGTTACTATTTCATAATTAAATATTACTTTATTATCTAAGACGCTATCAATTGTTGCAGCAAGGATTTGAGTAAAACTATTTCGCCGATTTTCTTGCCCTCCACGACGTTGTAATACAAAATAAGGGTTAGCTCGATCAATTGACCTACATTAAATGAGACGATGCATAAATCCGAACTATGAAAGAACTCATAAAGTAATCTTACCAAAGTCCTAAAATCTATAATAAAATAATCCAAAAAGAAGAAAATAATTTATTCATTTCTTAAAATATTTTCTTGTCGAAGAAAATTCTTACCGAGACCTCTGATGGTATTACCCACATGTCGACTATTACAGAACAACGAAAAGATGATGAAGGAATGGTAAAATAACAAGTTTCAACCAAAGAAATATCAAAAGTTCTGTTAATGAATGTAATGATAGGAATATATGAATTACCAATCAAATTTAATTAATGATTTCATTTCATTTTTTTCTTCAGTAGAATAATATCATACATCACTGAACTGTAAACTCAACGAAAAAATGATTAACATTGATTGTAGCGCTAGTAGACTCTACACTATGATTCATAATGTATAACTAGTCCAAAACAAAAACAAAAAACGAAAGAACGAATGGTTCGATCCAAGCAAAACGAATAGGCTTTTTTTTCATATATGATAGTATACTCATATCATTCAATTTTTAGTTGGTCACAAACAAAGCTGCCACGTGTCTTAAGGTCAATATAAATTCAGGCCAACGATAACTTTGAAAAGTAGATGAAAGATATTCTGCTAAAACTGAAAAGATTCAGGGAAATAGATAAAGACAAACAAAGCCAATAAAATACTGAATTAATAAAAGAGTATTTTCTAGGATCTTCGAGTTTTTGCTCGTTCCAAACATTTTGTTCAATTTACAAACAAACGTATAATACACTTATCAAGATTAGAAAGTGCTTCGCACGCTTTGATATAAATTAACAAAAAGAAATTTAATGAAACTCAATATTTTTAGAATTCATACTTGAAAAAAAAATCACCTTATTCTAATGTCATCGGGACAATTATTACATGACCGTGCTCGTTCATTATTAACTCTCATTGATGGTCTTCAAATTGAAAGTGATTTAGTCAGTTCTCGACGTACAATCGATGATTGGCGTACAGAAATGTTTTCATTAATAAATAATATTCATTTAACTACAATAAACAGACTTGATTTATTAACAAGTCGTTTAAATCAATTAAAACAACGCCGTTCAGCAATGTTAAGACAAGATATATTACCAAATTTAGGTAAAATGGTTATCGAACGACGAAAAACGTTATCTGAACAAGAGTTAAATGATGTCAAAAAGAAAATAAATAAAATTGATTGTGATTTACAAGGATTTGGAAGAATTTTAGCAAAAGTTAGTAGTGATGAAAAAAAATTAATTGAACAAGTTGAAATATTGAAAAGTAAACAAAACAAAATTAAAATTAAATCTATATAGATTTTCATTTTTTTTCTGTCTAAAATAGGTATTCAATGTAAAAATTCTCAATTACGTATTCTCGATAATATTTCAATACCAAAACGTCGTTTTACACTTGATTCATGTCATTCGCCATTTCTAGCTGTAGCCGAAGATAACTCTATGGTTATTGAAGATGATAATCATCTAGTTTTATTTGATGATCAGCGTCGTATTAATGAAATTCCATGGCAAGGACATAAAGAGGATTCATTTAGTGGTTCAATCAAAGATATCATCTATTCAGATTATCTTGAACAGTTTTGTATTTTATCAGCATTAAATTTTTTTACACTTGATCCACACATGTCAACATTAGAAAAAAGTGAACAATTAAAACCTACTACAGGTAGAATTATATATATATATATATATATCATAGGATTATGAAACAATAGGATTTTTTCTTGACTTGTAGTTTTCTACCCAGTAAGCGTTTGTTGATTGCGGTATGATTTGTTTTTTTAAATAGAATTAATGATTTACTCCTCCGTTGACATAGCACTCAATAATAGATTCATCTTGGTGAAATTGCAAGGTATTACTGAAGAGCTTCTGATAAGAATGATATGTAGACAGAAAATAAAATATAATTAATTTTTTTATACTAAATATACCATGTTCTTATTTGACACATGTGTTTATTATTGAGCCCGCTAATCAATAGCATAAGTTCTATCGTACTATAATTAGCATTATTAAGGTTCGAACGAACCAAGGATAGTTAACAGACGCTTAAATGAACTTCTAAATGATAAGTTAACTAAGAATTTCGTGAATCTCAAATGGTTGTTTCAAAACGAAATAATTTTGAAAGAATGCTAAAATGATTCCAATATTGAATTAATGCAACCGAATATCTGCAATTATGACAAAAATACTTTATCGAACTATCTAAATTATTGTATCGGAACTCATCGACATAACAAATGATAATTAATAAAAAAAAAAAAAGAGTCAACGAAAATCAGAAGAAATTGTTATCTTTTTGTATAGCAAATGTATATTTGGATTTCTTCTTTTTTATTATTATAGGTAGTCATTTTCAATCAGTTGCTTGTCTTCCAAATTTATCTGATGTATTTTTTGCACTTACAACATCTGGTGCACGCACCAATATTGAACGTTGGTCACTTGTTTCTGGTTCGCTTATTAGACGATGGTATCATGATATATTTGAATCTGATGATCGGTTTATATCATGTGTACGTGCCAATGAAACATGCTTAGCTATATGTATAAAACAAACGAAAACTGAAAAAGATCGTCCTCATGATAATTATCAATGGCGTGTTGATTTATTTGATTTTTCACTTGTTCGAATGTATCGTGGTGTTAATTTGAAATCTGGCGGTTTAGGAACTTATATAACTCCATATGATGATCGATCGTGGTTAGCCGTGAATGGCAATGATATATGGCTATTAGATGAACAAGCTGGAATTATTGAAGAAAAAACACTTGATGACCGTGAACAGTTACATAATATAATCGTGAAAGATGAGGATATAAATGGGCAAAGACAACTTATTGTTAAAATGGGTAAACCAGCTGAATTACGTTTTGTTTAGTAATATAAAATAAATCTTCATTGCTTTTTTTTTGTTAAACATCTAATAAAGTTAACTAGCAGAAAAAGCAACATGTGCTTTCTTTAGTATTTATATATTTATGCAGAAGAAATAGAAGAAAAAATTATTAAAGCTATGCATAAGCCATTATAATTTTTTTTCTTTCGTTGCGTTTTTGTTTTCTTACTTATTTCGAATGTTTAAACATGAAAATGTTGTGTGGATTTGGTCGGCGACGTTTTCGTAATCGTTTTGTCGCATTTTTAACCGCCATGGTAACTTTCTCAATAGTATCATTTATACTTTCTTACAATCCAAAAATAACAACAAATGAAAGAAATATAACAAATATTGAAAAATTGGGTTCACGTCTATTTTGTGTGCTAGTACATACAAAGCCAACACACGAAAATTTTCTTAATTTAACTAATATAACATGGACTAAAGGTTGTCATAAAATTATTGTTGTCAGACATAAACAATTGTCAACATCTGATAATGGTAAGTGAATTGATCGAATGAGTATCTTGAATGTCACCACTATGCGAGAAGATTTGTTTCTTTTTACATCCATAAAAACTTGAATATTTAGCGGACATTCGAATAGGTCTTCTTTGATTGTAGTCTAGCATAAGGAGTAAACAAAATAGTTTATCCGTAAGTTCACACGGTGCTCCATCGGTATGCTTTGGTAGATTCAAAAATTGATTGATTGCTTAATACTGAATTGGCATGACAACAGATTGGCTATTTTATCGAGAAGATTTGATTAAAAACCACCAGTACTCTAATAGTCCAAATACGAAACTGCAAAAGTTGGCAGCTGCGAACCAACTGTAGAAGAATATGCCCTTCATATCATACTTTTTTCTTACTATTCTAGACTTAAATCCTGCTCAAAAACCATATCATATAGATCTATGGAAAAACATTCTTGCTAGTATTCGCCAATCGATACGTTTTTATGAATTTATTTCAACTAAAGATTCAATGGTCATTGTTCCTCCATCCACATTTGTCTTTCGAGAAAAGTTAGTATCTCTTTTTGAGACTTCTACAAAGAATTCTCAATCGCCATTCATCATTATTTATGAGCAAAAAGATGCGCATGCTTACATTCTTAATGGTCCAGCTTTGCATCATATACGAAACACTAAATTAATCGATTCATGTTTACAACAATCATATCCAGGTGCACGTGAAACATACTTATGGAAATGTGTAAAAACTAAATTACGCGATCAACAAAATGATTCAATATGTGAAAATAATCAATGTTTTATTCAATACCATCGTAATCCACTAACAATTGCTGATATTAAAAATGGATTTTGTTTGCAGAGTAATTTTCGTGAATGTCAATCAATAACTTTATTGTATCCAGTAACATTTAGTGACATGATAATGTTAGATTTTTTTAAATATAGATTAAAACCAAAAGCTTGAAATTAATTATTAAAATAAAATAAATAAATAAAAACTGAATGTGAATTGCATTCTTACATTTATCAATTTTTGAATATATTTTACTATTTATGACTATCTAAAAGCTTCTGAATGCTCTGCAAGATATATAATTAATCATTACACTGAAGGGAACGCAGAGACTGTTTTCTAAATATCTTTTTTTAAATCTTTTACATTAGTTACGGAAGTTTATTTAGTTTAATATTAAGGAAAATATATCGTTTAATGTTTAACTTAAGTTAGGGAAGGAACCGCGAGAAATTTTTTGAAATTCTTGCAATTTTCAACGATCTTCGAATTTATCATCATTCTGCATAGATAGACTTTGATTAATATTATTTAACAACAGATTTGTGTAGGAAAATTCAAATCTTGGAAACGTTTATAAAAAGAACTACGTTAAATTCGATATAACTAATGTGATAAATAGTGCTTTTGCCTGGGTTTTCTCTACAAATGCTGGAACAGTATGTCGGCAGCAATACTCATATTGCTAACTATGAATATTTGTGCTGAAAAAGCATCTCATACCGAGTGAGTACTTCAATCAAAATTTAATCACGATAGATCCATATTTTATCCGATTTACTCAATGAACTCTTGTTGATCATTGAAAAACGATATTGCTTCTTATAATGGTATCAATATTAATATGAACTTTATAGAAAAACTCAGACATAATATATGATCTCATCTAAGGCTATCGATTGACATTCAACAATGAATCATAACACGTGTTTGTTTCTATACATGAAATTCTGGCGAAAGAACGCAGATTTCTATCTCTGTATCAGTTGTGGTATCAGATATTAGTAATGCACCGCTTAAATGCATTTCGATGCTATTATTAGATGAAAAACTCGGATGTCTAGAAGAATACTATCGTTTAGATTGGTAAAAATAAAATAGCAATTATTCTCACTAACATCGAGTGCTTTTCAACGAACGAGTATCATTTTGCGAGTCTATAAATAAATTCGATAGAAAAATGTACAGTTTAGAAGTAGTTATAGATCTTTAAAAATCCTGTTACACTAGAGGCAATCAAAAACATGAAATTAAGTTACTTAATATTTGATACATCGTCATTCATGATATTCATCGATAAGCGCATTTACATCGAGATGAGACGGGTGTATTTTTTTTCTCTAATAATTACTTAACATTAAAAGCTATAGAAAATAAAAACTATATTTATCATTTGAAAAAGTATCATGATTTTATCAGATTCAATTAAATTATTCCCAGAAATCCATTATTAAAGAATATCTTCAGACAGCCTTAAGAACTCAATAATTATTCGTCTGCACATAATAAATATTGCACTCGCAAAAATACTAGAAGGCCTCGATTTTCTATAGTTTTCTTCTGAAAGTTATAAGTAGCTATAGCGTATAATACTATATTAAAAAATGTGTAATTATATGAAAGAACAGTACAACAAGGTTTTTCTATTGTTCCGTAATATCTATTATATTCCTAATGTCTTTCAGTTTTCTGTTCATTGTCGAATCAAAAATTGCTGTTTTTCTGTAGAAAAGTACCAGCAGATTTCTTCACGTAAATTTGTTTTCAAAGAATCACCGAAAAAACGTTCTTTAACATTTGTATTACTTCTTCATAGAGTTAGGGCATATTTTCATATCCTATATAGAGTAATGTCCAGCAGTGCGATTATAATAATTTATAGCTTTTCGAACCAATTAATTTGACGTCAAATTCTTTTAGATCTTTTTATTACGACTGTATAAAATATGCTCCGAGATACTGTTACTAGTAACCAAGAGAAGGTTCAGCCAGAAAGCGAACCCAACATCGAGTAAAACTCCTCTACGTTTTTACTTCAAATAAAATTCATACAGTTCGATCGAATTGCAAAACCATATTTATGATAGCTAAAATCTCAAGCCGCTATTTACGCAATTCATTTTTATTGCACAAACTTTAATCGTATTTGTTATGTAATTTCATTTGATGGGCTCGATAGAAATGATCTGCTGATTACCAATGTGTTCTCTCAGCAACCGAATAATTTTGCAGATAATCGTATTTTTAGTTGCAACTAAAAAAAGAACATTTTTCCCGAATAAACTATGACAGAATCCTGTTTTCACTTCTGTCCTAAAATATTATGCTATTCATATTATTATGTACATTACTGTTAACCGTCTAAAACTCATAGATAAATACTATGCATAATGTTATATGTATTCATATGGAGTTACATACATATATAGTAACAATAAATAAATGTGCACTACTGAGAAAAAACATTTCATCACGCATCAGTGTGAATTTCATCACAACAGTACAAATGATAATTGTTTGCAGTAAATTAAGTTTTTCTTGACACCTCATAAACTCTTCAAATTTTATATGAGTTGGAAAACTTCATATAACCTATTTGTAATTGGGCGAATATTCAAAAGCAATGATGCTTGAATTTACAAGTCACAAGGAAGTCAGCAAAGGAAATCACGTTCAAGTCATATGAGTAGTTGTGAAGATTTTAGATACAAGAGATGCTTGCCCTGATGGAACTACGCTTTATTTAGCTTCTTCATATCGTAAATCGCATCGTTTACATCCACAACATGCGCTTATATACGCAGCCAAAGAGAGAGAGAGAGAGAGAAGGAAAAGATACAACAAAAGAAAGATGAGAATAACAGAACAGATAATCGTGGAGGATGATGCATGTCTTCCGGTCAACAGGATAGGCAACAAGCTAATCTTAGTTATAAGCGCATGAACGACAGGATATATGTTGAAGAGGAAAAGGCAGAAGATAAAGAGTGATGTATGAACACTCTCACCATAGAAGGTCACGGTAGTTTCAGAAGAATTTTCATTAGTAGAGTGAGAATAACATTCGGATATCTCGGTAACCGTTTACTTGTTCTTTCTTTTCAATTTGTGTTTCTCTAGTAAATAGTGAATTCCCATCAGATGTAACAAGATTAACTTCCAGAAGACTCATATTTTTTGACATATAAACTTATCTAAATACGACAGTGGCATCTTCACTTACTCATGTCTGGTCGAATTGATGTCACAATTATAGCAAAAAAAAACAACAACGATCCGTTGATCGTGATGAATCGTGCACTCTTTAAAATAAAATAACAAATGACCTAAAATTTCTTGCTATTTAACATTTAAAATACTATGAATGAGTAATATTATCAGTAAAAGCATAGAATTATGTGCGCACAGCACGTAGTTTCTCGGAAGATTTCGTCTTAGAGTTCTGAATAAAAATCTATTTGAGTGCGATGCAATTGGCGATGTCTCGTGTTGTTTACATTGAATAGATTTAATTTAGTTCTACATACAACAAAAATGATAGACGATGAATAGATTCTCAAGTCAATACGGACACATGTTACTCGATTTCACCGCTAAATTTACCTAAATAATAAGGTTTAGCTTTTCTAATAAGGGAATCTGATTGATAGTTTTCTATGTGTTATTGTATTCAACATGAACAAGACGCTTCACATTTCAACTATCATGGGAAGTACCGATTAATTGAGTTTAGTTATGATTCAGCGTACATGATAGTCATATTGACAAATTGTAAAACGCTTGTCATCTACAATTAAATTGTTCGATGTCGTGGCGAATAATTTGATTTCACAGATGAAATGTTCTTAGAAGTACAACGACTAAAGAATATAATTTTTGGTCGTTAATCTTATTTTGGATGATGAAATTGATTTTCTTTTCGGACGTGATAGATAGTAGTTCAAGTAGAAGATTTGTTGACAAATATAATCACTCTCTGAGACACTGTTTTGAGAACATTTAGATTTTTTCGTTATGAAAAAAATAACTTATGGTTCTTTTCTTTTGTAGTTATGATTTTGATTACCAATTTATTGTAATGCTTCAATCGCAGTATTTAATTAAACATGTTTTCATAGGAAAACTAATCAAATAGATTTATTTCTTCACAATTTACTTTTGTATGCCTTAATTTATTTCACAATAATACGTTTTATTTTAATTTCTTCAGTTAAAGGTACATATATTATGTCTGTTACCATTTGTACTCCACCTGATTGTATAAGGTGGCAAACGTGATTGACTAAGAAGTAAAACTTGCTTATACTGGCGTGGGCCACTAGATGATGATGTACCCGATGTATTTGTTGGTACCATGCGTCGTTTTGGTAAACACTGTTGTTGTTGAATGTTTTTTCTTTGGTGTAGACTAATGTTAACCATTTTTCGGCTATTATTCATATTGGTTGATTGATTCCAATTAGCCCAAAATAAAAGAAATATCCATGGATCCAATGAGGATGGAGCAACAGCTGCTCCACCAGCTAAAGCTAAGACTAAATGAGGTGGATGACGGCCGGTGTAAGCAACATATAATTCCAAACAATAATATGGTGCACCAAAAATAATCATAAACAAAACAAGGATAATAATCTATGAATAAAATAAGAAAATAATGTAGCGTTATAATTCATATTAGTCTATTTTTTATCAACCGTATGGAGAATTTAAATTAACTACGTTAGTGTATCAAACAGATTTGTTCATTGAAAAGAAGATCACAGATGATTCCGACTAACTAGCGGTTTGATTGTAATTACCCGTACAATCAGTTTTCTAGTTGTAAAACAGTTAAAACTATAGATAGGCAGTAGTATATACTTAGTAGACATCCTATGACTAAACAGTAATAAGCAGGGTTTTGGTGGAATCATCGTCCTTCTTTATTAAAGACCATCAGAAGAGTGCTAAATCCCACAACATTATAGAATATCATAAACATTTTATGATGTTCGGATGAATTAATTTTTCAAATATACGCCTACTGAGTCTTGTTTATTTATATCACTTTTTTATTAGAACTATGTTTTGAAAAAGCCATAACAGCTTAGCAATGCTGATAAATATTTCATAGACCACAAATAATATTTACGCGAGTACTTTCAGATCTTTTTTTTTGGAGAAGAACTCTGATATAGATGCATCCATTCTGATATTTTACACGCATATTGAATGAAATTATCATGGTGAAGACTATTCTTACATCGGCTTGTTTTATAATTCTTCAAAAAAAAAAGAAGCTTTCGATTGCTGGAAAGGTTAAACATGATTATAGATCTTATCTATTTTAATATCGAATCTTAAAAGTGCATATCTAGATGTGCCCTATTCATGAATATACTGGACTGTTAGAATTAATTAAATTCATGCTTTCCCAATTTTATATTTTGATAGCATGCAACACACGTACAAAACATTCAACCATGAGATAAGATTTAATCTCGGTCAAAAAGAATGTTTAATTTTACGCCAGTTTTGCATTTAGCTACTGAGATATGAAAGATTAATCATTTTTTCAAAATAAAATAGAAAAGTAAAAGAATATTTATTTACCATACGAAATGTCTTTGTTCGAGCTTTGGCATAAGTATTTGCTCGTTTTCGTCTTGCATCATATTCACTGAATGATGAGCGAGTCGATGCTGATCGCGCACTTGTTCGTTCCAACATCATTCTCGATACACCTCCCATAGGTGCATCGAACAACCATGAACAACATGAAGAACCATGTTTAAAACCATGAGTGTTTTGATCACGTTCACGCCATAATAATTTAATAAAAATAAGTATGTAACACAGAACGAGGACAATAAATGGTATGAAATACACAACGAGAGAGATGAAGGTTAGATAAATACGACGACCTGTAAGAGTCGTTTGATGATTAAAGAGTGCCGCACAATGACGAGCTGTGCCATTAATATGTAGATGAAATATAAATATATTTGGCGTTGATAAAAGACCAGCTAGAATCCATGCACTACCGCATAAATGGAGAATCTATTGAAATGAAATGGATTAATCTTTTTTTCTCTTCTTCTGTTTTACTTAATGAACCTTACGCGAATTTTTCCAACTTTTAATGGGCTAATAATGGCTACGCAACGGTCAATTGCCATTATAACAACAATATATGATGATGAAAGAATTGAAAAACTTTGAAAAAATTTTGTCACTCGACCTAAAAGTAGTATTATTGAATTTAATATTCATCAAAACAATTGTTTTTTAAATATTCATACATAGAAAATCATTAAATGGCCATTGTCGATTTGTTTGAAATTCCCAAAAAATTTGAATGCCAGTTGCAAAGATGTATACAGATAAATCAGCGATAACTAAATTAAGAATAAGTGAACATATACGAGCTGATCTCATATTCCATCTTGCATAGCGTATTAGCCAATAAATAACAATCGAACAGCCTGTTAAACCAACGATAAAAAGTATTGATAGAAGAACTAATCGAGTGTGTCGAAGGTCACGACTCGAATCAAGAGTTGTATTTGTTGCCATGTTTTTTTGTTTTTACTTTTAAGCTAAAATAATATGAAAATAATAGCGATTTATATAAACAATAAATTTATATAGAAACAACAATTTTCCTGATCATGCCAAAAGAGAATATTAACAATGATATGAAATTCTTGTTTTCTAAATTTGCCAACACGTAAGTAGACGACCTATCATAGACAGAGAAAGAAAGAAGAAAATATTCTATGCGCAATTTACACTTTCAATGAACTAACGACACTAATTGGAACTTATAACTAGCTGTGAAAACTGAACCGTAAAAGTAAAAATATGAGAAATCAAAAGGAAAAGAAAAAAAGAGACCGGATGACGCCCTTATGAGAAAGCGCTCAATCAAATCTGCAATTTATATCGTAACTCTGTGTGAGTCCAATGGTAAAATTTGTCTCAATATCAGCATTGATTCGGATAAAAACCCAAAACTAAAACAGAATAAAAAATAGCCAGCATATGTTTTTAGTTGCATCACACATAACTCCCCGAGAGTTAATTACTTTTACTGAAGAGTACTATCTAAAGTACATAATTGTCCTTAAATTGACAAAGAAACTAGGCACAATGTCTTTTTTCATATTTGCCATTTGTATCAATAATTAGTTAATTAATGCAAAAGCGTTGGCAGTATGAACTAAGCGGTCATTTTATCTAATATTCAACGTTTACTAGTATCAGATCTCTCATAAGTGAAAGCAACATGTTGCATGTCAAATGAAGAAACGAAATAACATCGATGATAAAGAAGATTAACTAGTTTGATTCGTCGAAAATTGTCTATCGATGATAGTTACACAAAGAGAAAATTGCATTCTGAAGTCGTTCTATGCAAGTTTAAGTGAATGATAAAGAAAAGCAAAAATGACAAAAAATTCATCAACAAACACGCTAGTAGTTGCTAATAAGGAGAAAAAAGAGATGAAAAAAAGTACTTTTTCCAGCTAACATGAGATTTTTCATTATTCTACATAATTCATGATAATATCATCGAGGATCTTTCGATTAGTAATACTTTCATCTCGAATAAATAATTCATAGCTAATGCTTCTCAATTAGCTGAATTAAATAAACATAGTATAAATATGTCTTTTTTACTCCATAAACGCTAGTGTTTCTCAATCGATAAATGAGATTAATTATTATTATTATTATGCTTCTTTAAAATAATGTCTAGAATAAACCCCGTTAAATATTTTATTATCGTCTGAACTCCAACGTTTAAAATGGCTCCAGATACCATTCACGCATGTATGCTCGCTTAAAAACTCGAAAATGCATGAGAAAAGTAGCAGATTCTTTTTCACAGGAGCCATAAAAGAATTGTTATTCTTAACATAAAAACAATCATTGAGAAGAAATCTTTTTTTCTTTTTCTGTTTTGCACCCAGTTTTACTTTAAACAATCAACTCTATTTATCTCTCTCTCTCTCTATATATATATACGTATATAGATATAGATATAGATATGAATTATCATTAAACGCAAATTCGTTTCATATTAATTGGAGAGAATTTCCAGTGCCAAAATTCTAAACGATCTGCCAAGTTGAATTATATCAAGTAAATGTTTTACAATCATGTTAATCAATAACTAAGTTTCACGAATAGTTAATTTTGCACTGAAAGTGTTGCATATAGTGGAATTTGTTTCCTTGACACTACATTTCTTAATTGTATATCTAAATTCAATCTGAAGTTCTGTACCCTATAGTACTCATTTAAAAACAGGTGTTTTGTTTTGGTAATAAGCTGTTCGAAGAGGAAAAGCAAACTTCTAAATAATTTTCTTGTTCACATCACATACCGAATGATCTGAAAAGATCAACCTGATCTTTTCCACGTATTCACCTAATTAGATAATAAATACATTGGTTACATGTTAATTAATGTCATGTCTTGAAAATAAATAATGTTCAATGTGGTCTGATGAAAAGGAAATAGAGGTGATGATGAACTTTAAGAATTTACGTTTAATAAAAGTCAACGCTGATCTTGCCAATGAGAGTTATAAAGAAAAACATTTCGCATTCTCTCGCTCTACACAAACAGAGACGTTAACTATTGTGTCTATCTTGAATGAAACAAGCTTATGAATATGTGATAAATTTCATTGTAATTGATGAGTTTTTTTGCATTTTGCTATGCCGACAATGCATTTGGGAAATTTAGTCATGTATTATTATTATTGTTGTTCTCAGTATAATTTGAATAAGAATAAGGTTTTTTCATAGATTGACATGTGTCAGTAGAGGAGAATTGGCGTTTCTAAAAGTTCATTCGAAATAGGAATGCATGCAAAATTATGTTGTCTTATCGTCTAATTCATATTTAGACGGCTTACATTGCTTTTACTATAGCATTAGTTTATTTTGGTTATTACGGTGTGGTGTGGAATTTTTTATAAATTTTTTATTGTTACAGAAGAAAATAGACAAAATAAAAGCTCCGATTTATATAAAGTCTGGAAGGAATCAGTACTCTTACCTGGAACTATGTCAATCATAATAACGGAGGCCGTCTAATGAAATTTTATCAGAAATCTTATAATCTACTTTTTAACAGATAGGAGTGAAGATTTTCCATTTTAAGATCAATTAAAAATCATCAGGATTATAAATAAAATCCATAAATGATTATCCTAATGAGAATATTTTGATTCTTTCGTGATAAAAGAAAATGAATAATTTTATCGTCTAGAATATTTTAATTTAATCGAGTGAAATACTCGAATGTAACTATTTTTAGCTTTCAATGTAATACGCATTGGTAGATTAGCAATCGGGCTCAAGTATTCTGGGAAGGATTATGTTATTTTAACTTTTGAAGTATCGTCTTCATCAACTCGATCTACTTAGGGAACATGAGTAAACCGTTGAAATCACTTGGGACTTACATGTTCCATAAAGTGTTGAAACGTAAAAGACTACACAAATTGAAGTATTTTAATGGGAAGGTTTTTGCAAAGGTAGGTACCAATTACTAGAAGTACTTTAATAGTATGCTCATGCATCAGTGATTTTCTATTAGTGATTCAATGCCATTACTAATATTATTTAGCATTGGTTTTGAACTGAAAAATAGCTGTGAATAATTTTTTGACTAAGCGAAAAGTTTTAGATTTTTTTTACAATTAATTTTATTTCAAGCAAATTTGAACACAGTGAAAAAAATGATGTTGCTATACACAGATGCGACTACTTATTTTAGGAAAAAAAGCCTTGAATAATTTATTGTTCCAATCATTATCATTGTTCTTAGCAATAGTTTGAAGCGTAAAGAAACTATAATCAGAAAAATATCACATGAATGTTGATTACTATAACAACTGTGCCGCTTTTTAATATAAGTTATTATATATGCAAAATTGAAATTTGCATAAACATCTTATATTTACTGCTTTGAGCAAAGAGTCCCATAAAAATACTTCACCCTTAAATAAAAAGAAACTATGCCTTCAACTAAGATCATTGAAGCAGATGACGCGACTAATTAAATATTTTTCATGGTTCTAACTATTGTTTGTGATATAGAAGATAATCGCGTTTTACCTATATGATAAATCTATCAAAATTTGATGTAATAGTGTCACGGAGACAAAATTTATTTCTAAACAAGGAAAAGGAGCTATGACATTTGAACGCTAAAAGAATTCTTTACTTTCCACGTATTACATATTAAATAGAAAGCAATCGAAAGTTTCCTGTTGTTCATCTGCGTGTCTTAATTAATGCAGCTTGTATGGTACTTAGTAGTATTAAAAACAAAAATCAAATGTGTTGTTTTTGTTCTCTGTATAGCTAAGAATGAAATAGTAGGAAATTTACTTGTTATTATAGAAGTATGTACGAACATAATTTGATCTCATAATTAGCAAAAACCAGCCATGACCACGCGCGCGTATGTTTTTATTTTATTTTTCAAAATACAAGTAATAGAATTTGATTTTGAAAAAGATTTTGATTTCTAAAAGGAAACAGGATACAAAAACATGCTCACACGTAGTCAGGAAATTCAAGTAGCATTGAAAATATTATTAGATTTATATTAAATTCTATTCAAGAAAATCATCACTTTATTATTAACCATTTGTCAATGCTGAGCGGTAAAGTTATATAATGGCTCAATAGAATTACGATGTTTCAACATCTTCCGTTATATTAAATTCTTTTCATTTAATAAAGAATCCAATTATCTTTACTCTCCAGAGTCCTTTTTCATGAAGTGTTCATCATATCATAGATTATGTAAGTTTATTGTATTAAATCGATCGGTTTTCATTAGAATCCTGTCTAGTTGTTTTGAGAATGATTTAAATCTTCGTTAGGATACTTTTTGACTGGTTATCCATGAAAATTATCAACAAGACGCATTGCTTTAGCATGTATTGATCGAAGACTATCAAGTGTATAATCTACAGAACATTCAATCTAGTACCATTTCCTCATCAGAAAATATTAACTACATATCTATTTATGATATTTGAACATGTTCAATTCTATTGATAGTAACAGATTTTTCACAAAGTTCAATTTACTGTCTCCTTTCCGATTTAATATAGCTCGTTTCCTATACCTTAGAGTTCAAAGTTTTTATAGTATAATTTGACATAATAACATTGAGAGTAATGAAATAGAAAATTCAACATCATGTCATGGCAACAATAAATTGAAAGCAAATTCGATGAAACGATGTCATCGTGAATTACTGATACTGTTTCTTTTCTAGAATCATAATTATTGCTCCGTTGGCACTTCTCTTTATAATAAAAAAAGTAGCTAATACATTTTCTTGAAAATTTGATTACAATTACAACCTTATATTTAGTATCTTGTAAGTCATATGTTTTTGAATTTTTCTTTCATTAAATTCTAGCACAGATAATAGATCTAAACTATAAATTCAATGACTAATAGACGTGCATTCGTAGCAACAAGAATAGTGACTCTTGCAATAAAGTATATGGAAAATTATTTGGATAGAAAAAATATGATAAATTTTCAAACCAGAAAAAGAACTAATGTTTAATAGGAAATAGAAAAGACTTCTTCGTACTTCGACTATATTTAACATGGTTCAAACATTCAGCTTTTCTGCTAACAAACTATAATTTGTAATTCATATTGAAAATTATCGAACCATGGTTATATTATATTCGATTGGATCAACAACAACTTGTTGTTTTCCTTTCGATTGACAGAGAGCATAATTAATTATACATCGTGCTTCTTAAATAATTGGATGAGCACATAGCTAACGGTTAAGCGTCGCCTAACTATGCCATATTTCGCATTTTGATACTTGAATTATAGATGTTGATGCTCTTCTCATTAATACCTGCACACTCACTCCATACAAACAGAAAATGCTTGAAATATCTTTACACAAAAATACTTTTTCTTTTATATAATGAATATTCATCCAATGACTTGTATTTCTCTCAAACAAAACTAGGGGAAATTTTTCATTCAACATTTTCACACGCATTCCATAGAATAACTTATTAATATCTGTAGAAACCAGATCCGAATGAGATCTGATTCGAACCTAGAAAATTATAGTAGTCTCTTTATTCTGTTAATTTGATACACTTGCATTACTATCCCGCACGTATCGAAATATGCCTCGGCGAAGGGTGTTTTTCTCACTCGATATTATAACTCAATCACTGGTTGACTATGACAAAAGTCAATCATGATTTAAAGACTTCATACTAATCATATTAATATTATGGGTAAAAAACGAATCGTTAACATTTCTTCATAGAAACACTGTGGTGACCCTTGATAGACAATGACTTTATTCGTCATGTTAGCTGGCGTCTTTACTACAATTGCCGCAGGAATTATTGGTTTGGCAAGCCTTGGCTTAACATTTAAACGTCAAATGGATCTTGATGACAGACCAATAGTCGAACAACCACAAGAGGAACTAATATTAGGTGAACTTCAGCATCAACTGTTCGCATATTAGTATGCAAAAGAACGCTCAAATAGTCATCATCATTTTCAATCAATTCGATTGAATCGTACTAAATATGATTATTGTTATTATTTACATTTTTTATTTAGTCTAACTGATTTCTTAGCATGAATATAGTTTCTCTATGATAAATATTTAGAAACAAAAGAATATCACATTCATTTCATTAGTTAATACGATATATCGAAGATCGTTCATCAAAACAGACCAATCTAGCGTATCATGCACTAACGACTGTGCACGGTAAAAGCATAATTATTTTCAAAATGAGTCTTGACATGATTCATAAGCATGTCAAATATTAGTGTTTCTCTTATGATAATTCACTGCGTATCAACAATCAACTATACTGATTTCAATTACAAAAATTTGAGAAAAAGAATTCACAAAAAAACAATATTAAAAAAATGCAGTAATATATCTACTGTAATCACCCTAACTTATCAAAACAAAAATCAATAACGAATTTATTAAGTTAAACATTTAAGAGCTTCTTCTAGAAAAAGTATTGGATTTTTCAACCAATTCACATTGTAATCAACCATTAATATCATTTTTATCTATAATAAATTGGATTCTTACAATACGGTGTTACAATTTTGTCGTCTTTCATGATGTTTACTACTAGAAGTTTTACTAGAACCTATGTGACTTACTTTAGAATCAATCAATAAAAAGGAAAATGTTGAATTGCACCGAACAGATGAATATTATTTTATGGCACATTTCTTCCTAATGCATCCGACCAAAAAAGAAGGATCAACTTAAACAAAAAATTAATATAAATGATCCAATATTTGAATCCTCATATTTTTTTCTTCCTAAGTGGGACTGAGTGGAGCAAAAAGCTATATGAACTCATCGGCGTTAATCTCAAATATTGGATTATGATATTTAGGTTTATCAAGAAAATTTGATGATAGAAACGAACGATTTTTAGGCCTTGGGACATCAAAAAATTTCATTTAAGAGTGAATATTCAAATATGAAGACAAAATTTTGTAAGTTAATCATTTGATACATCTACTCCATCGATCATATCTTAATTTTACTAAAAAGAAAAAAAATTATTAAACATGTTTGATCATTAATATTTCTCATTTCATAAACGAAACAATGGGAATATTTGATCTTTGTTTATTATAAGACCACAACAAAAAAATTTTTCCTGTCTGCAACTCTCATCAGCTTTCTATAAAGTTGCCTGTGATTTAAGAAAAAAGCACGATGGTATTAACGTAAGTTACTTCAGTAACATTTCTTTCTATTGGAAAAAACAAACAAATCATCTATAATTTTAATTCGTTTCAAAGAGTCGACGATGATTAATGATGATAAACTCAAAGTTTCATTTCTTGATCTAACGTTCTCTTCGAATGAGAATTCATCGAAGTCTTGTTATGTTGTTACTAAAATTTTGTTGTGTTTTCTTTTATTCGATAAGAATTCAACAAAAACAACAATAACAAGAAGAGAAGACAATACAGATGTTAACATCTTTTCTTCAACGGTTGCCTCGTTTTGGTTTTCATTTATGAATCGGCTACTGTTACTTCAACATCTACACCCGGTTCAATGCTGAAAAATAAAGAAAATATGATTCAATAGAACTATCCATCGAAATTGACATTTCTTCTTTTTACCTGATTGATGTAATTTGCTTAACAATTTCCGATTTTGAATGTAAATCAACAACACGTTTATGGATACGCATTTGAAAGCGATCCCAAGTTTTTGAACCTTCACCACAGGGTGTTTTACGTGTTGTTATACGTAAAACTTTTGTTGGCATACGGACTGGTCCTTTAACACGTATTTCTTCATCTTTTGCCTTTTGAATTAAATCCGCACAAACTTTTTCAAGTGATTTTACATTTCGTGATGTTAATGTTATGCGAATTTTATATTCTTGTTGTTCGCCAGCACCAGCTTGAGCGGGAATTTTACCACTTGTTGGATCTTTAGTAGCCATATTTTATGATCGATTCACTAGTAAAAGATCTAAAACTAAATAGTAGCCATCGTACGTAAGTCTGTAAAAGTAAATGTCCGAAATAAACAAGTAGAAAACTAAAAATTTTTTTAATCGCCAATCAAATTTAAGGAGAGTACTTGAATTGATTGATAAAATACAAAATGATTTTTTCAAATGCCTTTATTTGAAATAATAAAAATTTTCATTCAAAAAATGTTTTTTTTCATAAGAAGTACATGTATAAATCATTAAATATGGAATCCTGATGGTAAGTGACATCTATTAAATTCGAATGGCTGTTGATAGAAAGCTATGATTCACATTATTCAACATTAGAACGAAGACCATATGAAAGCAAAACAAAATTATGATTTTGGGAGGAGCTTTTAGTTTAATTATCCTCGGATTTACTTCAGTTTTTTTTATTATCTGGTTAATTATTCGGTAATTATTAAAATCTACAATAATTTTATTTTGTTTTTGAATATTTTTCTTTAAACAATTTTCCTAGCTGTCTCCAAATTTATCTTAAATGGTATCATGAAATTGATATTATATTTAGTTCATTTGGTCTTAGTGGTATAGAAAATCTTAATATAAATCATCGTTTATTTTATCTTCGTATTAAATATATTGATTTTTTTTCATCGTTTTCAATATTTGTTTGGCGACTACCAGTTATATCAATAAATGATGTAGATTTAAAAATTCATACAATTCAAAGTAAAGTTAAAAATGAAAATGCACGAAAAACCGACTGGAAAAAGAAATTATATTTAATCAAAGTAAACATTTTTATATCAAATAAAAGACTTGAGAAAAATAATTTTTGTTTTCAGTATGTATCCTTTCGAATTGAACAATTACAAATTCAATATGAAAATACAAAGCTATCATTTCAACATATCACATTATATCCAGATACTACAACTAATAGTGCAAGGTAACTATAGAGACAGTATCTTTGAAATTAAATTGCAGATTGAAACCAGAGACTTGATTGCATCTACAAATCGAAACAATTCGATTTTTTTGTCAATGATAATCTCGAGAGTTTTCATCTAGTAAAATCTTTTATGAATGTTCTAAATTAATATCGGGGACCACAAATAGTAATTATTATAAAGGAACATATTCGAGATAACAAAACCCCATACATATGAAATTGTGAATAGTCGAAAAACTATCCCCAAGGAAATCAGCATGCAAGAGAAAGCTAGAGATTAGACGATTGATAGCCATTGTGTACTCTAACAAAGAATAAACTCGTTAGATTATTCAATTTTAATAGAATGAGACTATCCAGTGTGTTTAAAAAGAACATAATATCCTCAACGAATTTCCAACCTTTTGACGGACAGGTGTTTTGCAGCGATCAAAGATAAATTTTAGCTTATGAAGTTATTTAGAATTTGCTATTGTTATTATTTTTCTCTTTTAGTCCTGATATCTCGATTGATTGTGAATATGTTGAATTGCTGCTTACTGATAAGACAGAACAGTTATCTACGAATCACAAATCTATTTTATTATTAAAATCAACATGGAATAGTGTGGAAATACGTACCAATTTAGATCAACGCTTTGGTCTTAATACAACTCATTGGTCAATCGAACTTGATCATAGTTAGTATTATATATTGCATAACAAAAAGCATGTACATAAATGCTCTATTCTATATGTTATAGATATAAGTGATTATTTACAACGTCGAAAATCCACTACGTCTTTAAAACATCCACAAGAAGAAAAATACGATTCTAATGATGCAGATTCCGACTCGTCATCAATAATTAAAACAATAGATTCAAATAATCTATTTACTAAAGTCGATCAATTGACTGAATTTCTTCGTGATCCATTGATTAATATTTCCATTAGACAAATTGATTTACAATATAGATCAATGTAGATTAAATATTCTAAATCATTTTCATTTATTTACTTTTGTCATTTAGAAATAATACTTTTCATACTCATACATTTGACACAGCTGATTTTTCTTTTCATAATGCTTCCAAAGTATCTCTTGACGCCCGACATGTATATATCGCTAATATTCAACTTTATTCTCAATCTATTCCTGTTGTCCATGGTCTATGTCAAATAACAGTGAGCATTTATTTTAAATTACTATGTTCTATATACAGAAGAGATTATATATTTTTTGAATTAATTTAATGACCATTTAAAAATTTCTTTACAATTCGATATAATAATGGAACGGTTAGACTTTCTAATGAATGTCAATAGGTTCGGATCATAGGCCTATCAAAAAAAAACAACAACGTCTGGGCCGCTTTCCTGAAATTTTGTTTCCAAAACAGAACAGCATATGTTTATAATGAAGATATTCGATCGAGAACTGACTAGATTTAATATTGAGGAAATCGCTGATTTGTAAAATTTGAAGTTTATCATAATCATCTAGTATTTGCTATTGATTCCATCAACACAATTCTATTGGAGTGAGTTAAATAATTTTTCCATATGATTATTAATCATAACTGTTAGAAATTGTTAATAGCTGTAACTTTTCATGTTAAAATTTAACTGACTCCAAAAAAAAGACGACGAAAAGAATCGTATTACACCTCTTATTGATGCTTACAGCTAATCTAACGCCTATGTTGAAATTTCGTCTGATAACTTTCAGCTATTTTTCTATCCTACTATAGATATTCTTAATATTGAAGAGCTTTGCTTTATCTTGAATTAAATTATATCTATCCATGACTTATTTCTTTTCTCTTTCTCTAGATATTTCCAGTACTTCTTGATATTGCATGCCAATTTAATGATCTAAATATTGAACTATATGAAGAAACTATTCAACAATTTTTTACATTATTATCCTCTCGCTCATCAGAATCGTCGAATAAGTAAGCAGATTTTTAATTTTCTTCTCTTTCTAATTACGAAAACTATTCTTCTAGGCCGTGGGTCTGTGATCGACAGATTGATGTATCAATTCAATTTTTAAATCCGTCGATACGTTTAAAAGTGAATGAAATTCAACAATGGTTTATTTGGCAAATAAGTTTCTTAAAAATAATTTATCATTCAAATCAAAATTCACAAACAAAGTAAATCTAATCTATGTGAGGTTTCCTGAACTAAAATTATCATCGTTTCTTTTTCAGAACATTAGTCGAATTGAAAAATATGCTCATCTATACATCAGATAAGAATAGTATTCTTTCTCAATCATTAGTTGATGAACTTAATAGGCAACATTTATGGAATTGTCTTTTCTATCTACCAAATGCCAGTATAACAGTAAGAACGAAATAAAACGTAATATGTTAAATCAATAATGTACATGTCGTTTCGTAGATCTCAAACACGAATATCACACATATTCAAATTGAACTAACAGGAATACGTTTACAGTCCAATAGTAGTTTAGTGTCTGTTATACAACGTCTACAACTGATATTACCTTCGATGAGAAAATCGACAACAAAATCAAATCGTACAATTGAACTTTCTGTACATATGAAATTTGTTACAGTGGTTATTTGTGATAGCGTACCGGGTAGAATATATACGAAGGATTACTGTAATAAAATAATAAAGCGAATTTTTCTTTTTGTTTAGTTTATTTATTTTTATCCATATCAGCAATTCGTGCGAATCGAACGCAAATAGAATTGAAAAAGAATCTAATATTTTTTGATAATCAACCTGCAGATAAAATAGTTCATATTTTCTTTTTTGCAAGATTCAAAATTAATTGTTTTCTTCATTTTTATTTTTAGCCTTTAACTTCACTAATACATGGCCAAAAAATACTTGATATTCGTCGTATTCATATTCAACATAATATAGTATATACGAAAATTTTGTTTTTGTGCAAGCTGAAATATTATTTATTTTTGTAGAATAACAATACGATTAAAGTGTCCATTGCACATGATATAACATTATTATTATCGACTAAACTTTATTTATTTCTCTATCGTGTTCTCTCATCATTAAAATTCAGAGATGACAACGTAAAAACAGTGACAAATGATGATAATAGTAATATTCAATCCGTTGCAAATGATATTGAATTTAATATAGAAAGATCTATTCATGTTTGTTTACAATTATCAAATGATAGCAGGTATATAAAAAAAAAAGATTTTCTTACAATCGATAATTCATCATATCAAAACCATTTGATAGAGTTTCTGAATATCTAGTTAGTTCTAGTTGAAAGAAAACTATGTAAAAAACAATTATATTCTAAGGTTGCAGTGGATGTCCTATGCAATATAATAATGTTCGCAACATCCAATATTGTAATCTCAATAGGGGAAACACTGAAAAATATGAATGTTTCCATTTCATGATTCGTGTTTTCTGGAATTTATGTTCTATCAAGTAGTTCCCCAACGAACGCAGCAATATATTTATTGAAAGTAGATTCTAGTCAATAAATTATTAGGCTCGTTTTTATTTTACTAAAGACTAAAATCTAAATTTACTCAGACAAAAATATCTAGGATCTTGCAATTTTAATCCATACTCGTAAAGCTTTTATTTTGATACGAGAACATTAATCTAATATTCTTTCAGAACTAATCATAAATACTCATGAAGCTAATCTTCAATTAAAATAGATTTGTTTCTTGGAAATATCTACTAAACTAATGCTCAATAAGATATGTTTGATGCTGAAAAAAAAATAATCCTAGCTCTTATCTAGTCGTGTCATCTCAATTCACTTCGACACCTGAAAAGTTTTCTATGAATTAGCACGCCAATGTGAACTTATCGATAGAATTAAAATAATTGAACTCTTCTAATTACTACGAAATTTAATCTATTTTATTCATTTTTACAACTTTTAGGATCAAATTAGAACTTCAGAAATTTTCATCACGATTGATACGCAATAATTTAATGGATAATGTGACACAAATGCAATTAAAATGTTTACAATTAACAGTCGATTGGCACCAACAGTGTTTTTTTCTTATACAGGCAAAACAAATAATTCTATACATTGAAATAATCGTTTCGTCGCTTTCTCAATTGTAGGATATATCATTTACACGTCTTATTCATTCAGAATCTTTAACAACAGAACGAGCCTTATTGCAAAACGCAATTGGTAAGCTTGATATGCTGCATAATCGAGCTAGTTTATTACAAATCAATTCATTTTCTATTCATTTTCCATTTGATTCAACATTCAATGAAGTTCTCGAAAAGGTTTATTTTCAATAACATAAATATGTCCTACGAAAATTGTTTTTCATTTCTAGGTTGTTAATATTCGTAAATGGTTAAGACGTCTTCATCGAACTGGTGGTGATGTAACCTCAACATTTTTAAGTCACGTTCCAACGCATTTAATATTAGAAGATGTTTGGACAGATTTATCAATAAAAATTAATGTTTGTGTCTTTACTTCTTTATTATTATTATTTTCATTCAATTCTTTTTTTTTCTTTAAGGAATTTGAATTAACTATTATCGATGATTTATTTGAAGTTAAATTATTTCAAAATTATTATGTAAGAAAAACTAAATAAAAGATTTTATTTTTTAAATTTTATTTATCTTAGTTAATGGCTGATGAATATGATGAACGTGAAGTACGTGAACAAGAATTACAACGTCGTATCGATGAACATGAAAAAATATCTCAACCGCTGAATAATTTACAGGAATTGCAAAAAGCTTTAAATGAAGTAAATTCTCGAATCTACATAAAGCGTTGTCAAAAAACAAATTATGATGAAAATAATCAACGGATAAAACGTAATCTAATACGTTGGCATTTACGACAAGTTGATTTCATTGCATTAGCTGATCAATCATGGACGGGAAAAGAAAATATATTAAATATAATACATAAAATTGATTCCGATAGTCCACCACTTCCAATCGATACAACTGATTTATGTACAATATGGTGTCGTTATGTTATATTGAAATGTGATGATTGGTCAATACATTTTAGAGATTTTCGACAACCATTATGGCAAATGCAACAATTTCATCTTTGGGGACATATTTGTGCAGCAGAAGTTACACCGGACTCGCTGGATTCAATAAGAACACCTTGGGTAGAAATCGGTGAACCTTATTCGCCCAGTCGAGTTCAAGTACAACGACTTCTGTCACCATTGAAATTTTATCATGATATCAATTCCGATATTGATTCTTTTCTTATCTCTTTTGGGCCAGCTGTAAGTAATCAATAGATAGAATTAGATATACGTATGTGTAGTTTTTGAACTATTTTCTTGTAAGGATAGAAAAACGATTTTTCCGTTTAGAGTAGAAATTTACCGTAGAAGAAAATTTGTCATAGACTTTTCTTTGAAAAATATATTCACTCAATATCTTCGGCTATATATGTAGCGGGTTCTTACTCAAACATTATTCATTCTAAAGTCGATAAAAGACAAAACATATTAAAATTAAGAATCATGCTGATTAATTCAATAGAATGGCCTGATCATTATTTTTCGAAATCTTTTTTAATTCTAGTGGGAAAATACGATAGCTCAAGTGAATCTATGCTTGAATAGTATAACTCCTCGTACAGTAGATCCTTCTCCATTACTTGCATGGTGGGATAAAATTCGTCTTTATCTACATGGGCGATGGTCATTTGCTACAAATAAAATGTCATGGCTTTACCACGTTGCGTCAAATCCATATAATGACACTGAAGAAATGGAATGGGTATGGGATCAAGCATATGTTGATTGGACAAATGGAAAATTTATTATAAAAGCAGCAAGTCTTTCAATTAAATTAAGAACAAGTTCAAAATATGACGACTGCTGTTTACTCTATCTACCCAATGTTGACACAAGGTTTGATTAAAAAAAAAGTAAACGATTCATTTAAAATTTTTATATTTCATCAATAGGATATCTCTTAATTGGTTATGTGTTGGTAATCCAAATGATCATCATGCCGTACGACTTTATACTAGTGATGCCGTAAAATCATGGCAAAAACAACAAGTAGGTTTAGTCGAATTGAATTCCGAGATCTGAATTCGAACTACTCATGTTCAAATCCTCCTGTCAGAAACGTGTGATATGATGTTATTTATATTGATAAGTCAGTCTGATATTTATTCATGATGCTATATTAATTATACTGATCACACACATTTACCTTGATGATTTATTCATCGATAATATAATTACTATATTTATTTATTTTATTTTCTAGTCTCATGATTCTTATGCTCAGTATCGGTCACATCATTTAAATGCAGCAGCTAAATTTGAAAGTAAAGAAGTACCTGAAGGTGGAATGCCACCAACATGTACTATCTATGCAAGTACATTAAGATTTTGTGAAGGTGTTAAGGTAAGACATAAAAAGAAAATGATTTGAAAAAAAGAGGCATGCTGATAATAATATTAAAAATAGAGATTCCGTAGATTGATAGTCAATATAACATTGATAGGAATTATATTTTTGTCAATTTTTCTCTCGATAAAAATACCTAGCAAGAATTTAAAAACATATTTTCTGAACTCAAAGGATTCCTACTGCTGCAAACCCAAATAAAATTATTGGGTCTTCAGAAAATCAAGATCTTTATAGGTAAATTTTGAATTTTTTGGAAAAATTTTTATTCCATAGAATGTATTATTTTAAGACACATGAGACTCCTACTTGGATGGATATTCACTAAGTTAATAAAGGAAAGTTAACGAAACATCTAGACATACTAATCTTGATCAGATGTACTTTTAACTACAAAAATATCTTTACTAAACATTTTCCTTATAAGAAATCAGTGATCTATTTTGATTTCTATTCTAAAGAACACAATGATGTCCATAACTCGTCCAACACGTCGTGGACCATTATTTTTACCGCCAGGTGAAACTGTTGTTCCACTACGTAAACCTCTATTATCTCGTCACTACGAAGCTGTTGAATTACAATTAATTTTACCACAATTTCGCGTTAAATATTTAACATCATTTGCTCGTCAAACAGGTGCACAAGTGGATTGTCAATTATTTAATTTTGTTACATATCAAGAATTGAATTTAATTGATCATAATGATGGTCTTGCACGTCGTGCAAAAATTGTATGGAAACCAAAAATGATGAATATTAATTTAGAACGTGCACAAATGTGGCTATTACGAGATGCTAATGAAGATAAAGAAACAAATGAAATAACAACTAAATCGGATAATCAACGAGAACTACAACAGCAGCGAACATTTTTTCTCAGTCTGGATAGTCTTGTTTATATAAGATCGCCATCAACAAACAGTAAAACTAGTACACATTCAGTATTAATTGGTGGATTGAAAGCTGTTTGGAATTTAACTAATCGCCGAACACTTTTTCTTGTCTATGAACGCTATCGTCGAAATAATATACTTCGTTCGAATCTTTCAAATCCATTTGCTAAAGAACTCGAGCATTTACAACAAGAAACAAATCTTGCTACTCCATCGACACAATCACCATCGGACGATAGTTCAATTACAAATGATGATTCAAGTTCAACTGTACCACCAACAACATCAATAACAATTACGGCAAATGGAACAACTTCACAATCATCAACATTAGCTTCTTTTCTTGATCAACTCATCAATGACAGTCAACATAAACCAAGTGTTGATCTTGCTCCAGTATGTTTGTATTTCATTGAGCTAGAAAAATTCTACAATAATTGATCTAACAATAGAATGCATAAAATTGATTGTTCGATTTTATTTCTAGGCTGCCGACGCATCGGTATCTTTAGTTGGTCTTAGTCAATGCACAAAAGATGATGTTGAAGAACATACGTTACATATTGAATTAGGTGATAGTCAAATAGCTTTACGTGGCATTGAATCACGTGGTTATGTTATATTATCGGCTGCACTTGCCTTAGTTGATCAATATCGTCATAAACCTGTTTGGCGTGATCAACAATTATGTGATAAAACATCTTGGCATGGAAATCTTCAAGGTATGCAATATTTTGCAACAACAATATCATCATTAGCAACAGCGACTGATAATACAAATGATGTATTATCGCCAGACGATGATATTATTTGGATTCCACAACGGGATATTCGTGATGAAAATTCTCTATTAGGTGAATCATCAAGAAATGTTATTGGAAGTATAGCAACAAATGATGGTTACGGTGATCAACAACTACAATGTATTGTATCGAAATCAAATGCAACTCTAACATATGTATTTTATACTGAACAAACACAACCAGAAGAAGAAACAGATACGAATATTGTTATTCCGGTATGTGAAAACAAACAGAAAAAGAGAAAATTTCTATTTGGTATGGAAACATTTTGTTTTAGCCATTTATAAAACCATCAATAAATGAATCCAATCCAATTGGTGAGAGCGATCGTCAACTTGTTGATTCATTTACATTTATTCATCATGATATTCAATTATCAACAAATTCTGTATTTTTATAAGAGTTATTTCTTTTTTTGAATTTTTTTCTTCTTCTGTCTAGTCACAATATCGCACAATTATGGATATTGTTAATAATTTACTTTTATATGTTGAACCTAAAGAAGAAGTAAAATTTTAATAATAGAAACAACGATCATTATCTCGTATTCTTGTATTTTTAAGGGCGCAAATAGTAAATTACGAAAACTTCGTTTACAAATTCAATTAGCTAATAATCTTCCTGTTCTACGTGGAAATATTCGTCAATTACTTGAACGTGTTAGGTAGAATATACATATATCTTAATAACCAACAAATCGAAACGATTTATTTTACTTTTTTTATTAGATCAACATTAGCTAGATTACGAAGACTTGAACGAGAAATCTATTATTTTAGTCGAGCAAAACATGATTTAATGTATTTTAATTATTTTTTGTTTTTGGAAAACGAAACTTCTCACTTATTCCTTTCTGTTTTAATTAGTAGTACTTCTTATTCGTCTGACGAAGAAGATGGCGAAAATGACCGAGAACGAACACTTCCATTTACATCGGAAGAATATGAAAAATTACAAACATTATATACATCAGTTAAAGTTGAATTAACTAAATTAGCTGAAAAATTAGGAATGATGTGTGCAGTTTATAAAGATATGCAATTAGCAAGACTCATTAAATTAAGAATAGCAGCAACAAGTAGGCATTTCGAAATTATTTTTGTTTAAATGAATAAAATTCTCATTGTAGGTAGTAAAACTGCTCGATTGGAACGACGATATGAACTTCACGGGGGCTCAATAACATGGTTTATTAAACATGACGATGGGCAAATTACAAATGCACAATTTTTATTAAGAAATATTTCGTACGAAAAGATTTCTTGTAGAAAATAAATAAGAATTAAATTATTGGTTTAATTTCAAGGTATACAAAACGATATTTTGAAAATTGTACCAATGAACACTCGATTAGTATTGGCCAAGCTCAAGTTGAGAATTTATTACCCGATGATCGATATCGAACAATTTTAACATCGAACTATCAACAACAACCTACCATGATACGCGTTTATTGTAAAGAAGGAGAACCCGTCGGCGGTATTGCTGTAAAAGAGCATCTTGGTATTTTACGAAAAAATATTGAAATTTTTTTATATCATTTAAATAATAAATTTGCTCATCTAGAAATTAATGTGGCTCCGCTTGTTATTCAAATGACACGTCAATTTTCTCAAATGTTAATGGCATTTCTTTTTCCTAATAAAACTCATCAGAATCATGAAATTCCACATGGCAATAATCGATCAACTAAATCTTCGTTGAAACATACAACATCAAGTACATTTAAACGTCGCACTAGATCAACTGAAGTAAGAATATTAATAACAACAACAACAACAACAACAAAAAAGCATATTTTTTCCTTAAATGAATGAATTAGCCAAAAATAAAAGATAAAAAAAATACTATGTGTCAATCATATTTACTTCTATAGACTATGTTACGTCGATTCAGTCGCCACATTTCAAATGACATTGGATTGGTATTAGTTCCTATCTTAATTCTTTCTTTTTTATTCAATCGCAATTTCTATTCACCTATCGAACTTATCTGATCTCATATTATTATCCTTGTTTTTCTGTGTGTCTCTATGCTTGTCTAATGGGTTATTCACAGATTGAATTTCAATACATTTTAATTGAAATAAAATTCAAATTTCATTTTAGGGCGAAGAAGAATTATTAACTGGTCGATCATTATTCTACTTCAGTAATGTTGATCTTGATGCAATGGAAAAACGTGCTAAAAATACATTATCATTTCAATATATTAAAATTCCTGAAGTATCACTTATTGTGTCATATAAACTTCGAGTAAGTAAATATAGATAGTTATTTAATGAGTTTAATTTTTCGTTTATTAAAGGGTACAAAACAAAAAAAGATTGGCGACCTAGAAAATGCACATATATCATTTCCTACACTTGAATATCGTAATTTAACATGTAGTTGGCATGATCTTGTTCTAGCAATTAAATCTGATGTTAAAACTGTTCTACTTTCTCAAGCTATTTACCAGAATTTTAATGTAAGATTACCATTTATGGGAAAATCGACTCGAGCACAAAATCAAAAGTTATTAGCAACAACAATAGTAACAGCAGCAACAGCAGGAGTAGGACTAGATGGAACAACAAATAATTCATTTTTAAACAACTCAGACACAATGACTAATACTGAAATATTGAATACAAATGAAAAAGAAAAAGAAGAAGAAGAAGAACAAAAACATAAAATGAAACTTGTACTAGGAGCAAAAATAACCAAGGTAAATTGTTTGATTTAATTTGTTTTTCTTTTGTGAATGGAAAAACAAATATTTTAATTTTAGGACCTTATGTCACCATTTAAACGTCGAAAAGATCCATAGACAGATCGAGTTTTTCCATTGCATTATTTTTTTAAACTTACGCATAGTGATATTTTATTTCTTCTGTTTTTGTGTTGTATGCACTTTTTTTTTCTAAACCATTAATACATGTCTGGTGTTTATTTTTGTAATGAAGTTTTTTGTTTTGCTTTTGGACAATCAAATTATCAATTAAAAAATAATTAACATTAAATCATCAACGATTATACGAAATTATTGAGATTGAATTAGAATCTATGCTGATCTATTTATCTAGTTTGAATAGTGAATTGTTTCTATTCATACTGTTGTTGTCGACAAAGAAAGTTAGAAACGATGTGAAATATTATTATAGAGTAACAAGATTCTACTCATGCCCACGAATAGGTAATACATAATTGTAGTTCAATTAAATGAAATAGAATGTTCTTTTTTTATGTTTGATATCTGAGAATTTTGTAAACTTTAATTATTTAAAACAAAAATAATTCAATTGGATGTTTCAGATGGCTGAACCAGAAATTGTTGAACCTAAAGTATTTCAATGTTCATTATGTCCATTTTATGCTGCTTATGATCGTTATGATACAAAATATGTAGATGAATCCCTTCCATCACCTGTAGCAACGACACAATATAATAAAAATAAAAAGGAACCATCATTAACAATTGCTTTAATTGAAAAAGTATATCTTCTTCGTGATCCATTTGTTGCTATTAAAGATAAAGATAAAATAGATCAAACGAAATTATCATCATTAGTTATTGGTTCAACATGTTCTGTATGCTCACGGCCAGTATGCATTCATTTGGATTGTAGTTTATTTTATACAAGAAGATTTTGTTTGAAATGTGTCTCAAAATATCGTGATGAATTTCCACGTGAAATTCTTGATGAAATTGGTGATAAAAGATTAGAAAAATTTATCAATGAAGACTATGATCAATATGAAGAAACGTTAATATGAATTATATTCGTTCTTATGTTTGATTTGTAAATAAACATATTGAATGTATTCAATAAAAAAATCTACCTTCGAAAGGTTTTTGTAAAGAATAATCCTCTAATTACAGCATAGTTTTGTTGGAACCTGTATCTGTTCATTCCTCATTTAATTTGAATCAGATAGTATTTATTTCACAGAACCTCCAAGAAATCTCTAAAACTTCAGCCAGGAATGATATTGATGTCCATAGTACAGAAATCGTTCATACGTGGGTGTCAATGTTAAACTGAATGAAAAGAAAAACTAGATTCATCTTCAATCCATTGAATTTATTCGAAAGAAAAGGAGAAAACAATTTGTTAGACTACTCGAGAGAAAATCGTTGAACACGATGATTATAATGATCAACAACATAGAGATTGCCTTGCCGATCAAAGGACAAACCTGTGGGGTCGCTCGTCTTATTTGCTTCAGGCCCAAAGCCACTTCCGCCCAAAATCACTGTACCTTGTGACGTTCCTTGAGGCCAACGCATCACACGATCATTCCATTGGTCTGCCACATAGAGAGTACCCAATGTATCGACGAAGAGTCCTTGAGGAAAGGAAAATTGTGTCAGATCAGCCCCTTGACCTTGACCTCCAGCGATGACAATACCGTCTTTAGCGTCTTTAGACCATTTCATTACACGCTGATTATTCCAGTCGGACACGTAGACATTCTGTTGTCGATCGACAAAGAGATATTTCGGCTCGTTGAACTGATTGAGATCAGCACCTAGACCATTACCACCAGCAACGAGAATGCCATTCGTATCTCCCAGTTTATACCGTCTGACTTCATGATTTACGACATCAGAGACATACAGATATCTCTGTTCATCCATAGCTAACCCCCAACAAACGATATTGTCGATGAGAATTTCCCCCTGTGTTGTGCTACTATGACGAGACCATCGTACGACTCGTTGATTTCGTGGATCACAAATAATGAAACTATCCGTCTCTTTGTCGACCAGTACATCAGTTGGATCATTTAATTGATCCAATTGATTTCCTTGGCCATTACCACCAGCAACGATTTGTCCAGTTGTATCATCCTTCTTCCATTGGATGATACGATTATTAGATGGATCAGCAATGACAATTGTTAAATCCTCATCAACAAAGATACCGAGAGGGTTGTCGAGTTGATTGGTGCTACTGCCTTTTTCATTGCCTCCAGCGACAGTCACTCCATTTTGTGCCCACTTGGCATTAGCAGGAATGTTAGGCAAGACTACAAAAGAAAACCGACAGATTCTGGTCATCTCGTTCTCTCTTGCATGTGATAGTGTTAGAAAGACGACACGGAAGTATGTCAATAACTTTCGAGACGTTTTTATCAATCCGATGGTATGACAACGTGAAGTCTATTGATAACAGAATCCACTCTTAAAATCATCTAATTCAGAAGTATGGCAAATTTCAAAACTTCCATATAAATCTTTTAGGAATTCAAGGAGATGCTTAGAAAGACTTTTCAGAAAACTGACCGGTGCTTACAAATAATCAATACAGAACCTTGGAGAGCATCATGCAAATTCTAACTGATAAGTCATGGCAATTTAGAGAGACCCGTTACAAGATCATTTTGCAGTGAAAGTAAGAGAATGTCAGAGGACGTTTCGATGCTAAACTTCATCAGATAGCTTTCAAAAATTCTCACAATTACACAAGAAATCGATTTGAAGAGTCAACAAGTAGTATTGCAATAAATTCAATTGTTTGCATATGATTTGATTATATTTAATTTTGACTAGAACTGCGATGTGTGAATACGGGTCAACACACATGAATACATATTGTTTTATCGAAGCAAATTGGAAACATAGCAATACATGTGGTGCCCTTATTGACGTATCTCTGAGACAATATTCTTTGTCATAAATTATGCTGTTACTAGAAACTATTGTCATATAATGAGTCTTTCTCAAATAGGAAAGATGAAAACACTTGAAATTCTGAAAAATGTTGCTCACCCATGAGAGCGTCAAATACTTTTCTTTTTCTTTTCAAGTATCCAAGGTCTAAAAGAAGTAGTCTACCCTTGAGAATATCTGGCATGTAAATATATATTTTATTCAACAATAGTTACGGAGAGTTTTTCTATTTATCTATCTGCAAAATATGTCATCATGGAAAAAAATTTTTTATTCTCTTCATAAATGATTGTAATCAACATAAACTTAACTAGTTCGAGAGTAAGATTCCATACAAAGTTACGATATACACAACGAATTAAAGAGTAGAGTTGGACAAGGTCGAGAAGTGTAAATAAAAATACTTACCTAGTTGTTGAGTAGGAAGTTTGGTAGTAGTTGTAGCTAAAATAATAAAGTTCATTGTCATTTAGTGCCATAGAGAATAACTGTATTTGTGAAATCAAAATTTTATTTTAGTGATCGGCTTTGATGAGCTCTGGGGCTACAGTCTGCGCTTACTAGTATACCATTGGCATTACTGAATCAGTGTTATTGAAAACTGCAAACAATAATTTTCACATATCCAGTTCAATTACTGGTCATTCGTTATTTATCAATCACTTTCAGTATTCTAACCACCCATAAATCATTGATTTTTCTAAATGCACCTAGTGAATTAATTAAATATTCATAGTAATCCATTGGCTATATTAGTAAAATTATTGATGAAAAGACTCATGGCACACAAGAACTAAAAGATCCTTTTTCAGATTCAGATACATATGATTTCGTTCATGGAATGATTTTGATCTTTAATTTATACGTAAGTTAATAGATGAAATTCATAAGAAGAGTTTTTACTCAATTACTACCATTCATTTTCGCTCGACTACCACTTATCAACGTTGTACAAAGTTTCTCAGGGTTTTCTTTGCCATTGAGATATTAATACGAATTGGATAAGTGAAGATGTACGACGAAGGCAAACATAAATTTAAGAAGAATTTGAGTTCCACTGAAATTTGTAGATCACATATTACTCTCTTACTAGCTATCGGTGAACAAAATTGTTTATTGTAATTCGGTATTGGATAACAAACAGGAATATCGCGACACTGAGGATGATGAAGGCATATATGATCAGATTGGCTGCAGTTATTCGTTGAGTGATGGCATGGAGTCAACTCAGAACAGGTCACCGCGTATCGATCTGTACAAATGCCAGAGTTAGACGCGCCGGGCAAATGAAAACAGGCACATGCCGAATTTCGTGAGCATCGATCATATTGAGACATTCCATCACATTGTTGAGATTTGACTCGAACTATCGATATGCTAGATGAATTTTACGGCATATGCAATGAGAATAAGAATCAAACCTGTGAGACTAAAAAAAAGAAAGATTTTTCAATGTTCGATCAATAAGAAAATCATATATGTTAGAACTACCTGAAAGAAACAAATATGAAACAATATAACAGTGTTGACAACATTATTGCAGTTAAAACGAGCCAAAATACTGATGGTAACCATTCTTATATCTAATGAATGTGTAATCCTTGAATGATTAGAAATTCGATATTTCTTCAACGGTGGCTTATGCATTTAACTTTTCTTGGAAGAAAATAGTGATGCTCTAAGAAGAAAAACGATGTAATTAAAGCAGCAAAAATGGTTATGTTTTTGCACTAGAGAAAAAATTGATCATCAAAAAGATACTATCACTTTGTTCAAGAAAAACAAAATGTTTTTCGAGACCTAGGAATTAAATCGCTGTTGTACGTTTCGAGCAGAGATGCCAGAAGTTCCGGATTTTTTCCGAATTTTAGCCATTTTTTGTTTCAGTTTTATTTCATTCGTTTTAGCATTCTAAATTGTGAATAATTCGGCAGAGATTTTATATTTTCCTCTATTGGTTACCTTACACGTCAAATTGCTATTTCTTTCGCGTTGCATATAGTTTCCCTTCTCTGCTAGTATGGGTGTGGGTGTGTGGATGTGACTGTATTTTTACCTCGATCACACCCACACCCACACGCCGACACCCGCTAATTAAAACATGTTTTATTTTGTGAAAATATATGAAGTTATTGATAATATATCTGAGAAAAAGGTTCTTTACGTGACTAAAACTGATCATTGAAAACCTTTCTGGGTTTTTTTTCCAAATTTTGAGAAACAAATTCCGGATTTTCGACTTTCACATCTGGCATCTTTGGTTTAGAGTAAAAGTACTCCATGTCTCAAATGAATTTTTTCCATTTCGCCCATACTTTTTATGTACTTGAATTCGGATAATACGTAAGTTTCAATCAATGAAAATCTATTGATTTTCAATGGTTAATACCACTACTTATGAATATGCGTTAACTAAGTTTAACATTATGTAAATCGACTTCAATGAAAAACTATAACCGTTAGAAAATGTCACGATTCTAAAGACCGATATAGTAATTTATGAAAAATAACACTACATGAGAGTAGGGATGTACCATTTACATTAATTTAAAATTAAGTTCAATATCATCAATTAACAATAAATTACAAATATGAAGTGTTAAGAAGAAAAAACATCTTAAGTTTCATACTAACTGGCACTACTTCAAAGTCTCATTAAGAAAAACTGTCCATCCCTATTTGAGAAAATTTTAGAATAACTAGGAATATATTGGAATGGTTGCGTATGGATAGGAGTGACTGAGAATGGCTAGAAATGCCCGGGAATGCCCGAATGAGTCTTTTCCTCCTTGGATTATTGCGTTATGTCTATGTGGAAATTCTCAAAATGTGTGCCTCAGTTACAATTTTCTTAACATGGCAAGACCAGTTCAATTTTTACCCAGGTGATCAAATTTATCATTTGGCTGTGTTGAATATAATTGTAGTCAATGAACAATATTTTGTCAGCAATAATTAAGCAGTTATATAAATTGTGATTCAAACGATTATTAACAAAACGAAAGAAATCTACATATATATGAATGAATGAATGAATACTTGCTTGTATCAGCTAATAAATTTTATGAATAGATCTTCTGTTTTTAAAAAAAAGTTTTCGTGTATCATGCAAAATAGTTTAGTAATTATATTCAACAAGCTATTGTTAACACGCTTGTACCAGCATTATTAATGCTTACATGTATAATTAGTATTCATTAAAGTAAGCACACATGGGTAATTAGGCGTCATGAAATGCATCATAAGCAGCTATTTTTTATGTTGATATTTACAAAAAGATTGTCATTTATAATACTATGACTAACCTGAAGTATTTATCCTGCAAATTTATAAAGTCAGTATGAATAATTTTAAATTTTTGCATGAATGAACACTTCGGTTTTATTGAAATTCCTTTTTTTATGATGTTATATAGAAAAAATTCTTTGACAAAGATGTTTATGAAAGAATGATGAAGAAACGACAAAATTGAACATCATGAATAATATTTTAGACGATTCTCAGTAATATTTATGAAGAGAAGAAGAAAAAGCGACTGTCTTAATATAGTCTATTGTCACACGCTTATTTCCTATTCCTGTATCTTCTCAACGTATTAAATGTATCATCAATCATAGAAAAAGAAGGACGTCTATGTTACATCGAAATAATAGTACGATACAAGAGCAAGATGATCTTGTATGTGCCCCTACGTCATAGAAATATTCTTTTCAACCAGATAAACAACATCAGAAAATATAGCTATTCGATTATAAAGAATATGACATCCATCATTGATATTTTCATGCTTTTCTATGAGTCAATAATACTCGTAGATATCGCCACGACATTATGTGGGAAAATAATGTGCTATCGTTCTATGCCGATAGAAATAATTAATGGTAGATTAAGAGTTCATTAATCATTGCATTTATCCATCGGCATTCATAAAGATATACAATCATAAGATTGTACTATAGAATAGCTATGCAGGTTATCTCTATTACGAGTTTGTTTAGTAAACCTTGTTGCATATCATATGTATCAGCCATTAAATCTGCTATGATTTACTTGCTCATTTTTCTTCGATTGATCAAAATAATATTTAATCTTTAAAAATTTCATTAGAAAAAATTATTCTCGGAAACCAAACTATGAATATTTCTTGTATCAAAATTGATTTTCTTATGCACGAGAATCTAAACGAGTTAAGCGAATAACTATTTACTTTATTATATCATTTTGCAAGTAATTGATAACGTATAAATTAAATATAGTTCCTTTTACATTAGTACTAACATTGATTGAAATCTATTATAATTTTCTACAACTATGACAGTGAGTATTATAGAGTCTCTCTCTCTTTCTCTCTATTCATTTTCTTACGGATAGTCTTGTTATTTGTTGACAGATACGAAATTAATAGTCTGAGAAATATTGTTTTTTTCTCTTATTTTTTTATATAAATTTTGTCGAAGAACAACTTTGACTTTGACATTCATCAATATACATAAGAAAAGAATTTAATAATAAAGTTCTTTTTTACACAAAAGAAAAAAAAACAAAAAATTACAAAAAAAAACAAAACACTGGGCTAACTCTTCTGTTCTTTTTATGTTGATAAGAATTCGTCTATGTAAAAATACAGGAAAAAAGAAATCTCTGTTCGTATTATTTCTCTTAATCTTGGTCTTCTTCGAACGAATAAAAACTATCTGAACACATTATTTTAATCGAACGAATACAAAACTAGATTAATACTGATGACACTAACGAATAAAAAGGGGTTGACTAGGCAGAGTAGACCGGGTGGACGGATAATGTCAAAACTATACGTCTGTTTCAACATTGAGTGGCTCATTCGATGTACTTGAACTATTATTATTATTATTATTATTATTATTATTATTATTATTATTTGTTGATGACGTTTTTCGCTGTATTAACTTTTGTGTCGGTGAAGTTCTTACATTTTTATGATTAGCAATCTGTGAACGACATGCCACATCATCAGCAAGACAATATGAAGGAATAAATGCATCTGATTCATCTAAATGATGGTAACTATCTGCGGATGAAACTGATTTTTTCTTATGTGTACCACCACCAATACTTGTCGACATAGTCAGTGCAAATTGTTCCATATTCATTAGATCATCAACAGGTGGAGTTGCATTGCCAGGACTACTTGAATATTTTATATCTCGTTGTTCTTCAGAATCAATATCTCGATGATAGAAATAATTAAAATTTGATACAATAACAGGTACAGGTAAGGCGATTGTTAATACACCTGCAATAGCACACATTGATCCAACAATTTTACCAAATATACCAACTGGACGCATATCTCCGTAGCCAACCTAGAATAAAATGAACAATATGAATTTTATTTATTTGAAGGGGTAAATAGAAGAAGAAGAAGACGAAAAAAGAAGAATATTTACTGTAGTCATTGTTATCATTGCCCACCAAAATGCATCAGGTATAGATTTAAAAAAGGATTCTGGTTCACTTTGCTCGGCAAAATAGACCGCCGATGAAAATAGTATAACACCAATGAATAGAAAAAACATTAGTAACGCTAATTCCTGCATACTTGCACGTAATGTTTGTCCTAAGATCTGTAAACCTTTTGAATGTCTTGATAGTTTAAATATACGAAAAACTCGAACAAGCCTTATAACTCGTAGTATAGCTAATGACATTGCTTGATTTGATTTTGTCTTTTCTTCCGCTAATATTGTAAATAATGTTATAAAATATGGTACAATAGCAACTATATCAATGATATTCATCATGGATTTGAGAAAGACAAGTTTCATTGGCGATGATATTAGACGAACAAGTAATTCAAATGAAAACCATATTATACAACATGTTTCAATGATAAAAAATGGTTCTGTTAATTCGGGTATATCGTCTTCTTCAATTGTTAAACGGGAGGAATCGTATGATGTATTATCTGCTGATCGGACACGATAACGTTTAAATTTAGGAAGTGTTTCTAAATAAGAAAAACAAATAAATTTTCTTAATTTTTTCTTTTGGCACAAACCAAGACAGAATATGACAATTGACATAAGAATAACAGTAACGGATATAAGAGCAATAACACGTGCCCATTGCGACGTTTCAGGATATTCAAATAGAAGCCAAACTTTCCGTTGAAATTGTTGTGTAGGTAATACACGTTCTTCTTCTTTAATGAAACCTTCATCTTCACGAAATTTATTAAAGGCATCTTCTCCTAACTCAAAAAATTTGATTTCTTCAGTGAATACATCTAGATAAAAAATAGAGGCACAAAAAGACAAAGATTAAATATAAATATATATATATATGATTTTCTTTTTCT